AATTTTCCAATTCTAGATAGTTTACATTATTTTTTTTATTGTATTTTAACACGGCCATGTAGAAGGGTGAAGCCCCTGTAGTCCTCCTGGATACACTACTGATATAACTGCAGTAGTGGACTGAACTCAAATTTTTAATGACAAAATTTTATATTTCAGTAATATTTAAGTATTAACACCACCACTATCTTGTCTTCAACCCCTTCTTCCCATATATGTACACACACACACACACACACACACACACACACATAGTTAAATTCATACTTATATAGTATATAGTTAAATGCGAAAATTTGACTGTATGTCTCTTACATTTACCCGTCAATAGTGCAGAACAGATTTCGAAAAACATTTGACAAGGAGATACTAAAATTAATAATAACCTTGAAACAGGACTATTAGATACTCATACTATTGCATTAAACAAATGGATATCAAAATAAACGCTTTTTGAAATCTGACGCAACTGCGTTAAAATTGAGCCCTTCAGCTCGCTATCGTATCCACCATTCCGACGACTAATAAGCCGTCAGTTACAAAACACTGGCCACATTCGTCAATAAAAAAATTTTCCAGGGAAGTCAAATATACCTTTCCCACACATTCAATATTATGTTAAGTATGTAGGTACCTGGTTATGAATAACCAATTGATACGTCTCTATGACGTATAATATTCGTGTCCATATAAGACGTAGTAACAATTTCCTATTTTCTGAAGACATTTTTTCAGCGGCGTATGCGTAAATGAGACTCACCCTCTCCCCCCAAAAAAACATACATGTACAGATGTAGAATCAACATACAAATATTACAAACAACACTGTCCAGCGAAATGTAAGTATTATGTTTGATTGATTTTGATATGCTTCAAATCTATTAAAATTTGAAGTTAATCTATATTTAGGTGGCACGTTTAGTTTTTTTTTTTTTTTTTTACAATTTAAATATACAGAGGAGGATAAAATTTATACTAGAAAAAGAAATATTATTATTACATTTGGAATATTTTTAACTGTTATCAATTAAATTAAAGTTAAATACAGAATAATATTACGCTAACATTAGTCAAACATAATATTATTAAACTACAAATATAAAAACAATAATTTATTAAAATACGATTTAGTTTAAAACATAAGTTGTTATACCCGAGTTGTACAAAAAACAAGCGTCGTCTGATGGACAATCGAATTTCAGATTTGAACTCAGCTCATCATCAATACGATTACAATAACAAAAACTTAATTCGCAAGACGGAGTGTCGAATTATTTAAAACTAACGGTTAAAGTTATTGTTTTATACACATGGTGGATACGTCCAAAAGGATTCCCTAAATTCTATTTATTTCCTTACAAAACAGTATGGACCACAATACATATATAAAATACCCCGCTTGCATGATACACGAAGCATAAGAGTATAATATATTTTTAAAAAAATAATTATGAATGCACCGCTGTTAATGTACAAGATAAACCAGAACTTTTGATGGCTGAATTCATTTTTTATTTGAACACCGTTTACTAATGTGAAAATGAAATACACTGTGTACGACTTAATTAAATGAAATAATAATCCGCATTTATCAATCGGAATTTCCTGTGTGAGAGGTTTAGAATACACCACAGTATTTCTACCTGTTTTAAAAGGCGACAAATGTGATTGCGTAGGTCGACAGCCGGTGTAAAACTCTGCCGAGCAGGAGTAGGAAACAAGACTTTAGCATACTCTCCGATCTCAGATGTGCACGAGGACAACAAGTGAGAGGAGGAACTATTATGCATGATTACCATGACGTATGCAGATGATAATGTTTTGATAGGGGAAAATCTAAAATAAGTTAACAATAGCCATGAGGAATGGTGAGTAGTGCTTGAAAAAGTAGGACTCAGAATAACAGATAAAATAGGTAAAACAGAGCGTGAGTTTGGATTATCAGTACAAGACAGTTAATGACAATAAGCAATTTAGGCGAGGTTGAAAATTTTAGGAACCTAGGATCTTTTGTACAAAAGAATGGTGGCTTTGAACAAAGGATTACGAGTGGTTAGATAAAATGAAGATAAGTTTCAGGAGTTTTGTGTTTCATATGACAGAAGAATTTCAATAAGACTCAAATGTAAGTTCAAAAATGGTGAGACTGACTATTTTGTATAGTTTGGCGTATTGGGTGTTAAAATTGAAAAATATAACATAGAATAAGTATGGCAGAAATCACAACGTTTAGATGGACGAATGGAGTGACAAGAAAAGAGTATAAAAGAGTCAGTGACTTCGATAGTGAACAAAATAGAAAAAATAAACTGAGACGGTTTGAGCATGTCACGGGGAGAGAGGAATATGAAGCAGTAAAAATTGTAATAATAATAAATGCAGGAGGAAATAGGTGGGGAAGAAAACTGAAAAAGATATGGTTGAATGCGATATAGAATGATATGCGGACAGCTGGTGTATGCGAGGTGGGATATTTTGTCAATTACAAGTTTACAACGAGAGTGGCCGACCCCGAACAGTTGGGATGGAGGTGAAGGAGAAGAACAAAATGTATCAATCCAAATAAGGTATTGGATTGTACTTATCAGATTTTTTTTTTTTTTTGTCGATATAAATCATGTACGCCACAACCAATGAATAACATGAGTATCCGAGGTACAACCACCCTAGGGCATTAGTTCAGTTATAAAATGGGGACTTAAAGTATATTGTTATGAACAATTTATTACATTTTCCAACGCCTTTGGTTTAAATTTTAAAATTCTTTAAACTTATAACTTGTAGAAAGATACTTATTATTTATTTTTTTTTCATTCCGTTGGAAATGATATTTGGCTATACAATGGCTATATCAATTCATATTCCTATGGTCTATACACATAGGTTATTGTGTGTCAAATTATAACAGGAAAATAATATTCTACAATATAAGATAACTTAGAGAGTATGCGGACAAACAAGATAAAAAGAAAAATAATATATTATTCCGTAAAAAAATATAAAAAAAAGTTGCAAAAAAATTTGCTGCGATGGCCGGGAATCGAACCCGGATCAACTGCTTGGAAGGCAACTATGCTAACCTTTACACCACCGTCGCATATATTTAAGGGTGTAGAATTTAATTTCTATGTTCACGAGTATTCTTACATACAATTGGACAAATTATGATTCCTGAAGGCTGAATGGTTATAGTTTGTAATTGGGGTGTGAGTATTCGGTAATAGGTACTGAATGTCTTTTTAATGTATTTCGTAACAATTATTCGTATTATATTTCTAATTGGTGATGTTTTCCCAAATAAGTCAATGATTTTCAGTTAGATTTTTATTTAAACTTTCAATATTCTCATCGTCGATGGTTTGAATGAGACACATCTATACATCGATAAAATCAATGATAAATCATTGATAATATCTATAAGCAACGATAAACCATTGATAACGAAAAAATATTCTGAGCGCAGGTAGTTTTTCCCAAGTATAATACAAACTGTCGTAAATATTTGTCCACTTTTCCGATCATTTTTTTTTCCAAATTATATCATGAAAACCCCTTGAAGTCGAAAAATTAACTTCTCATCTGCATCTACTAAATCGAAATCGCAACAAAAATTTATAAGTGTTCAAACAAACTAACTGACTTCAAACGGTTTGTCCTTTAAAAATTATATTTCCTGTAATAGCTATTATCAGTTTAAACTTCGGTTTATATTCCTATGGGCTATACACATAGGTTATTGTGTGTCAAATTATAACAGGAAAATAATATTCTACAATATAAGATAACTTAGAGAGTATGCGGACAATCAAGATAAAAAAAAAAATAATATATTATTCCGTAAAAAAATATAAAAAAAAGTTGCAAAAAAATTTGCTGCGATGGCCGGGAATCGAACCCGGATCAACTGCTTGGAAGGCAACTATGCTAACCTTTACACCACCGTCGCATATATTTAAGGGTGTAGAATTTATTTTATATATACTACATCAATGTTTGAAGCTAATGAAATCGATATTTGACATTGACGATTTAGTTTCGATATTTTTTATCGAAACTATACTAGTGTTTTAATTTCTATGTTCACGAGTATTCTTACATACAATTGGACAAATTATGATTCCTGAAGGCTGAATGGTTATAGTTTGTAATTGGGGTGTGAGTGTTCGGTAATAGGTACTGAATGTCTTTTTAATGTATTTCGTAACAATTATTTCCTCTATATTTCTAATTGGTGATGTTTTCCCAAATAAGTCAATGGTTTTCAGTTAGATTTTTATTTAAACTTTCAATATTCTCATCGTCGATGGTTTGAATGAGACACATCTATACATCGATACATCGATTTTCACAAAAAAATAGCCATCACTACCTATTACTAGTTATACGCTTTATATTTCCTCTTTCGTACCCAAATTAATTTGGCTGAAAAATGTTTTTTTTTTTCAAATTTTAATTTAACAAAAATACAAAAAAATTTGTATTTTCTTTTATTACAACAAACAAATAAAATTTAAACCAATCAAACTAAATTAAAAACCGGTTTTATCGTGATTATTAATCGTTATAAATCACGTACTCCACGAACAACGACTAAAATGCATAGTTATCCGAAATACAGCCACCTAAGGACACTATAGTTCAGTTTTAAAATAGAGCTTTAAAGTATATTTTCATGACAAATTTATTACATTTTTCAACGTCTCTGGTCTAAATTTTAAATTTGTTTAACTTGTAACTTGTAGAAAGGTACTAAGATGTTACTTTTTTTTTTTTTCGCGGGACCTACCTACTGTTCGTAATTAGACCATACTACTAATAAATAGGCCGTGCACGGTAATCGCATCAGGGCGTTAACTGTAACTAGGCATTTTTATAACGTGTGTATTACGCTCAATAACAAGTGACGATACAACTACACTTGTAAAATTGTAAAATCTCGCAATAAAACGAACGCACGAAATTACATTTTAAATTCACATACCCATATCTAAATTACCACCATGCAATCGAAGTGTAAGACATCGAGAGGAGGCTGTTGCAGAGGCGAACGCAAAATGGTTAAATGCGCGGCGACCGCTATAGAAAAAATGAAGGACATGTTCGGTACAGCGGTGTGCACACTCGACGACCCGTCGGGCAAACCGCCGATCGCCACCTCCGGTTGCGTGATGGACGCGAAATGTCAAATGCTCGGATGTCCGTTCCGCGGGACCGGCGTGGCGCCAAACGTAAGTGGTATTAGTAGCAGACAGTGGCGCGACCAGCGAGGAGGAGGAGGAGGTGGAGGAGGGGAGGGGGAGGGGGGTTGTGAGTGGTTGCGACCGACCAACCCACCTAACCACCCCCCCCCCCCCAAAAATATGCGGGTAAGTTTTTTTTTACGAGTTTTACGTGGCACGTGGTTTTATGATTTTTATAAACGATTTGAAACGTAATGCCGTAGCACCGTGTACGAACGTGCGGTAACGGATACGACGTGGTTTCGGCCATGACTGCGATAAGTCCGGGGTTGGGTTATTGTAATATTGTTATGCCATTAACTCAACGGCGCGCGGTAACGGCTCATTGCAGAGACACGTTCAGCGTTCGGTCCGGTTATGAGCCGTCGGCTAAACGGACCAATTTAACTATTATTGATTTCGAATCGCGCGAATTGCTATTGTTATAATTTATTCGTTTGTTTCTCAAAAAAAAAAAAATAATACTGGGCCTCACTGAGTATTCTCGTGTGGAGGCCCGGGCGTTTTCACGTCAACGCGTGTTCGATTATAAAAATGGCGATATGTGTACGGTGTTTCGAGAATTGTTGATTATGTATTATAAGGAAAACTGTCGAAACCAGTGAAAACGTTAAATTAAACGTAAAAAAATCGTCGCGTGTAAACTTGAAAAAAACGGCAAAGTTATAATGCAAATCGTTAGTTAAAGAAATGTAAAAAAATGGTCGCCACCCAACAGTATAGGTGTTTTTATAACAATGGACCGGTGTTAAATTCGCAAAGCAGCCGTGTCGCAACGGCTATTTTAAACCTGTGCAGTTGGAATGTGTGTAGGTGTTTTGATATTGAGTTTAGATTTTTCGTACCGGCGGATTCATACCGTTTTCGCGTGGCTGTTTTACGGGGCCGGCGTATTCGTAAAGTTATTTTCAGCCAATCTGGCTACACTACCTATACTGCGACGCGGGGGTTGTTTTGTTTTTAAAAAAGGACTGCCGATATCGAATACAAGTTTTTGATATTTAGTACATTAGAATCTTCGTAGAGTTGTTTCGTGTGGTATTATTTTATCTTTTTTTTTTTTATTTTATTTCAAGACGATCCTGATTGGAGTATTTCGACTAGTTCGCAATCGAGAGAGAGAGCGTTATCATATGAGTAGAGTGTTTACAAATTTCAAACACATAAATAATGTGAGTGTCAATTATTTTCCAACATGCGTCCGTCTATAAATGATAGTCGAACATTTCGACGGTTTTACTCATATACTTAGCTATTTATAACATTACCCGCTCCATCGCACAAAACACCATCCGAAATTGACATTTTTCAAATTCATATCCTCCCCCCCCCCGCCCCCGGATAATAAATTCCGGTCGCGCCACTGGTAGTAGATCGCCAACGTATTGTTACCATAAACGGGTGAATTTTACATCGTAACTCATCAGAAGGCGCCTAACAATGATATACGTTAAAACGGTCCTCGCCCAATCGGCGGGGTTTTAAGCGCTCCGAATCCAGAATTTCGGATTTGTCGAGAATTTCGAATGCCGCGCAAACGTGTTATTGTTGTTAAACCGAAAAACGCCTTCGCGCGCTGTCACACAGGTGCTGCAAGGGCTTTGCGAAAAACCGTTGGAAGGGAACGGACGGACGGATCAGAACGCAATGGTCCTGTTGCCGGGCGAGGTGGGCTTGCGCGGAGACCGGGCCACCTTCTACTTGGGCTCGAGCGACGGTCAAACAGCGCCGATACCCGACGACAGCCAATCGGCCGGTGCCGTGTACTACAACATACGTCCCACCCAACCGCCGGCGACGGTGACCGCCGGCCGGGGGCCCGCCAAGTCTGTAATCCCGCCAAATCCGCCGAAGCCACGCAAGCACGTGATGCAAATGCTGCCCGTTCTTCCCAAGTCTACGAAACCGGCCGTCGGACCGGTTACCGGGTTGCCGATTTCCGAAGACGAGCACGTATTCGTCATACGGCTGGGCAAGCGGCACAATGAACCCGACGAGAAGGCACGACTGCAGATCGAGATGCGCATGCCCAAGATAAAGATCCCCGTCACGACAGAGGTTCCCTCGCAGTATATGGAATCGGACCTACTGCCCGCCGTCAGCTCTGGCGATAAGGACGGCGGAAAAGGAAAAAAGAAAGGGAAAAAGTGATCACCGGATATTATAAACTGATTATTAAATATACGCATATTAATTCTAAAAATGAGATAATACTGCCGATGGACGTGCCAGTATATCACTGTTGTAGGCGGAAAGTTGAAAAATCAGGATGTGTAGGTTAGTTTGATTAATAAATCATTGATAATATCTATAAGCAACGATAAACCATTGATAACGAAAAAATATTCTGAGCGCAGGTAGTTTTTCCCAAGTATAATACAAACTGTCGTAAATATTTGTCCACTTTTCCGATCATTTTTTTTTCCAAATTATATCATGAAAACCCCTTGAAGTCGAAAAATTAACTTCTCATCTGCATCTACTAAATCGAAATCGCAACAAAAATTTATAAGTGTTCAAACAAACTAACTGACTTCAAACGGTTTGTCCTTTAAAAATTATATTTCCTGTAATAGCTATTATCAGTTTAAACTTCGGTTTATATTCCTATGGGCTATACCACAAAGGTTACTGAGCGTCAAATCATTCAAAACTTTTCTACATATTTGTNGTCGCATATATTTAAGGGTGTAGAATTTAATTTCTATGTTCACGAGTATTCTTACATACAATTGGACAAATTATGATTCCTGAAGGCTGAATGATTATAGTTTGTAATTGGGGTGTGAATGTTCGGTAATAGGCACTGAATGTCTTTTTAATGTATTTCGTAACAATTATTTCCTCTATATTTCTAATTGGTGATGTTTTCCCAAATAAGTCAATGATTTTCAGTTAGATTTTTATTTAAACTTTCAATATTCTCATCGTCGATGGTTTGAATGAGACACATCTATACATCGATAAAATCAATGATAAATCATTGATAATATCTATAAGCAACGATAAACCATTGATAACGAAAAAATATTCTGAGCGCAGGTAGTTTTTCCCAAGTATAATACAAACTGTCGTAAATATTTGTCCACTTTTCCGATCATTTTTTTTTCCAAATTATATCATGAAAACCCCTTGAAGTCGAAAAATTAACTTCTCATCTGCATCTACTAAATCGAAATCGCAACAAAAATTTATAAGTGTTCAAACAAACTAACTGACTTCAAACGGTTTGTCCTTTAAAAATTATATTTCCTGTAATGGCTATTATCAGTTTAAACTTCGGTTTATATTCCTATGGGCTATACACATAGGTTATTGTGTGTCAAATTATAACAGGAAAATAATATTCTACAATATAAGATAACTTAGAGAGTATGCGGACAAACAAGATAAAAAGAAAAATAATATATTATTCCGTAAAAAAATATAAAAAAAAGTTGCAAAAAAAATTGCTGCGATGGCCGGGAATCGAACCCGGATCAACTGCTTGGAAGGCAACTATGCTAACCTTTACACCACCGTCGCATATATTTAAGGGTGTAGAATTTAATTTCTATGTTCACGAGTATTCTTACATACAATTGGACAAATTATGATTCCTGAAGGCTGAATGATTATAGTTTGTAATTGGGGTGTGAATGTTCGGTAATAGGCACTGAATGTCTTTTTAATGTATTTCGTAACAATTATTTCCTCTATATTTCTAATTGGTGATGTTTTCCCAAATAAGTCAATGATTTTCAGTTAGATTTTTATTTAAACTTTCAATATTCTCATCGTCGATGGTTTGAATGAGACACATCTATACATCGATAAAATAAATGATAAATCATTGATAATATCTATAAGCAACGATAAACCATTGATAACGAAAAAATATTCTGAGCGCAGGTAGTTTTTCCCAAGTATAATACAAACTGTCGTAAATATTTGTCCAGTTTTCCGATCATTTTTTTTTCCAAATTATATCATGAAAACCCCTTGAAGTCGAAAAATTAACTTCTCATCTGCATCTACTAAATCGAAATCGCAACAAAAATTTATAAGTGTTCAAACAAACATTTATAAGTGTTCAAACAAACTAACTGACATCAAACGGTTTGTCCTTTAAAAATTATAGGTTTGTCCTTTAAAAATTATATTTCCTGTAATGGCTATTATCAGTTTAAACTTCGGTTTATATTCCTATGGGCTATACCACAAAGGTTACTGAGCGTCAAATCATTCAAAACTTTTCTACATATTTGTGTTATGTTTCCAAAAATACATAGAAATCGAACGCTTTAGAAATATGAGATTAAAATTTTCAATGAATGTTATTCTAAAATGTTTTCTAAACATGAACTATTTGGGCAAATAAAATGTACATCATTGTGTAACAACAATAATAATATTATTTAAATATTATTGAAAATATTTTGACAACTATAAAATGTTCCTGATAATATTTTGATCATATTATGGAAATATGTTTTTGCTGTGTTGTATAGGAATGACAATAAAACATCGATACTTTTGAAACATCAATGTTTGACGTTCAAATAATCTATGTTTAGTTGTGATGTTTTACATCGAAGCTTTACCAACTTTTTGAATTTCGATCTTTGCTTATCTATTCGATGTAATTTCGATGTTACTTATCTTCGATATTCACGAGTGCCTTTTCTTACATTCAATAAGACAAATTATGACTTTGAGGCCGAATGTCTATAGTTGTTTATACTTGGGGTTTGACTGTTGAGTTATAGACATTGTATATCTCTTCAATGTGCTCATAGAAAAGGGTAATTATTTTCTAGTTAACTATGTTTTCTACATAGATTTTTATTTAAACTTTCGATATTTTCAACGTTGATGGTTTGAAAGAGACACATGGATACATCGATTTTCACAAAAAAGAAAAATCACTATCCCTACCTAAACACTACTTATACTTAGACCCAAATTAATTTAGCTGGACAATTTTGTTTTCAAATTTAACAAAAATACAACAAATTGTTATTTTCTTTTATATAACAAACAAAATAAAATTTAAACCACTCAAATTTAATTAAAAATCGGTTTTTTCATGATTATGACTTGGTATAATATTTATCAAAATAGTCGCCTATTCTATCCGATCAGAGATGAACATCACATTTGCCACAAAACCTATCATTTTTTTGTTCAATTTAGATATAACATTAGAGCATATATTTTTTTTCATCTACTAATAGGCGACTAACACATTCCATCCAAACGTGCATCAATATTTGGCGAATTAACTATATTTCTTTTTGTATTTTGTTGTTCTGGTACTTCTTCAGTTATGCAATGCCGAAAAACTTATAGGTAGTGGTAAGCATTTCATTTTGGATTTACATGCAATTTTAAGTAAGGTTATTTTGATTATATTAAAATTAGATACAATAGATTGGGAATTTTAAATAAAATTTAGGTAGTTCGTACTTATTTTCAAAATTAATTTGCTACCTTCAAAAAAAAAAAAAAAAAAAGACATTGTTTATACCACAGATATATAATATATAATAACTAGATAGCTGACTCCGTATGTAACGACGTGTACAATTATGATGTCCAATGCCATTTGTTATTTGGACAATGTTTACAAATTCGTATTATTTGTATATGCTATCCTAATGGCAGATAAATATAATAACCATGAAATTCGGTAACAATTGGCAACGAACGTACTATTATAGATATTTAAAGCAAACTAACTAAAGTATTGACATTTTGTGAATGCTTTTAATACTTCTAGAAACTACCAATATTACACCTTTTATTTACTTAATATTTATTGTTCACGTATGAATATAGTGGTGGATTTGTGGATTTATCAAATGCATGGAACCGAGAAATTCTGGACTGTAACTTTATGTATGCATATAATAGCTGGTAAACCCATTACCGTATTGATAGGGTTTATCCACACGTAAAGTGGTTTTTGATTAGGTATACAATAAATGATAGCAATATACAGTGGAGTTGTAGTAGTCAGTTCCACCTGCACTACTGTCGGTATTGAAAATAAAAATAAAAAGTGTTATAAATACAAAAAAAAAAAAAAATAAAATAATAAATAAATAAATAAAAAACCACTAATTCTTCTAGTCTAGGAATACGATATAATAATATTGTCAACATTATAGTATTGTGATTAAAATGTTTACTGACAAACAACGGGGATAATTGTATTTTTTAATATAATGTAGAACAATATTTTAGGACAATATATATTATAATAAAACTATAGTTAGTGTTAATCTACGGTTAAATGTCTATTTACTGTAACATGCTATTACATAATAATACAATAAAATATTGGCTACAGTTACCAATATGAAAACACATACGCATTTAATAATTTATAATCGTATAATATAATAATAATAATAATAATAATCGCGACGTCTATAATTCTATACGATTATCTAAGAAAAAAATTGTATTGAATCAAAAATTAAACGAATTAAATAATCGAGATACGGACCGAAACCAATTAATACCCGTGTGTAGCAACCAGTCACGTACACAAAACAATCTCGGGGGAGAGAGGGATTCATGAAAAAAAAAAAAAATAAAAAAAAAATCAACTTCAAATATATAGGTATTATTTTATAAAAAAATAGGACAATATTTATTGGTGTTTTCGTAATTTGTAATATATTTGGTCGAGTAGGGGTGTTTGAATCCCCCTCCCACCTGTATACGTGGCTGGTGCCAGCGTCTATTTATATACGAGTACTCTGCGTAATACTACGTGCCAAGTGGGAATATGTACGTTTTGTGAACCGTTCGAAATCACGATCGATTTGAAATCTAATCGAAATATTGCCGCGCGAAGAAGACGCCGCGTCTCCATTGTGTCGGTACAGAAATCGAACATGACAATATCACACGATAAGTAACGGCTAATATCCAATACTAATACACAGAAATACAATTACTACGTCAGTCGTCGGTCTTCTAATACACAGGTTTATCGGGGAGCGTCTATTACGGTACGGTGTATAGACATACCGAGGGAACGGTCAACCGCGCGACGCGCGCGCCTATTGGTCGACCTGTTATCGGTGTGTTGTCTGTATCCGCCGACCGACGCGCCGTTAGGACGCATCGGACCGTCGCGATATTATAATATCGTAGTGTTGTTATGCGGGCGGGCGGGCGGGCGCTGTCCCGCCGATAATGTGAACGTCCCGCGGGCGGGCGCTGTCCCGCCGATAATGTGAACGTCCCGCGGGCGGGCTCCGGTACCTACAGCGAACATACAACCGCGATTCGTCGGTAACCGGAATCGGCAATGTACGCGCGGCGTCTGCAACGGCGGCGCAGCGCCGTCCCGTTGAAAAAAATTCGGTACGTTTTACCGTATCGCCCGTATGGTATTTGCGTCGGCGTCCGGTTACGAAATGACGGCGGAATAACGTTAATTTTACAGCGACAATTTCGGCCGCGGATACAAAACGCCGTGGGGGGGGTGGGGGGGTGGAGGGGGTACGGGAGTCGGTGATGGTAAATCCGATGCGGCGACGAGCCGACGAGTTGACCGCCCCACTCGGTATGTTACAGACACTCTGGAGCAGATACAATTGTTAAAAAATACAAGTACAAATATATTGTAATAAACAAATAAATACGTACGGTCTCTCTATGCGTATAACATAATAATAATATAATAAACTAGGTAATAATAATAATAATAATACGAGTATAACGTACTTAAAATGCTAATGTAATATATTATAGTTACTTTTTCGTGGTGCTTCAGTTTCGCTATATGCTATATTATAATTATCGTTATATAAAATAAAAATGTAACGTTTCCGATATAAATGTGTGTGTTGTAATATAATATTATAATCTATTATCCGAAATAATAATTGGCATAATGGTACATAAATAATAATAATAATAATAATAATTATATCAACAAGTACAATAATAATAATAATAATAAACTCTATAATACGATAGTAATAATAATAATAATTATAATGGTATAAGAGATAATGTTATAACAATAATAGATATGATTTTACAAATATATAATTGTGTATTGTATACGTAGAATATTTTAGTACCAATAATATTACATAATAGACGTGTTAAAAATACATTTTACTCATAGAAAAACAACTAAAATAGGGCATTTTCATGTTTACCCCGCGAGTGAGTTAATAAATTTATGAAATGTATAATAGTTAATATAATGGTGTTTTGAATAAAGTCATTTGTTAACATAATAATAATAATAATAATACGAAAAACTATATATTATATACTGATAAATGATTTGATTTATCGTTAAAAATATAATATGGTATTTTAGAATATAAATATAATTACGTTTAGAATATAATATTGTTATTTCGAGAAGTTGTAATATATATTTTTTTTTTTTTATACCTAGAAACTTCGAATGATTATTTTACCGTGTTTTCGAAACGTTGGTACACGGGCACTATAAAATAATAATTCTCGTACACATAAAAATAATCATATATACCTATACAATATCGTAGTCGTACTAAAACTAATCGCAATTAATTTAGAATCGTTTAACATTACCATTGGTGTATTGACGTAAAGTTATAACAGTTAGGTAACTACCGTGTGAGTTAGTTAACATATTTTTAAAGCAGAATGAAAATATCTTAGATGAGCCACGAACACGACCACTTAGTGGATTTATATAATTTAGAATCTATGTATAATATGTAATAATGAACATTAGTCTTGTGATTTACTTATAAGAAAATAATATCATAAACTATGCTATACAATTAAACTATACTTAAACATTACGTTATCGTTTAATAGCACTATGAATGATAAATTTTTTAGAATATGGGCTTGCCCGTCCTGACGTTTAGCGGCGCTCGACTCGCGGCAGACGGCGAATTGGGGGGAGGCGGCGGGACCGAATTAATTTATTGACGGTGTTTTATAATATTAATCAGACGGCGATATACTGTTGACGAAGACTGTTTTTGTTTTTTTTTTTCTATTATTATTATTTAATTGTACTCGTATTTTATTGTCACCCGCGTAATGTTTTATTCCGGTTCGCGGTGTAATAATTACACGGCGATATCGTCACGAGTTGTATGAATGCGCTAAGCTAAGGGACGAGAACGGTTTACATATTATTGTTATCATTGGAGTATCGCCTAATAAATTCGTTTGCCGAGGAGTCAAGCGCTGCTATCAAACCAATTCCATTCCATAATTGAATAAATAACAATCAACGAACAATAAAATAAATAATATTTTTTAGATAAAATACCAATAACGTAATAATAAATATTACTACAATAACAATATAATATATAACTCTATATGTGTGTCTAAAATAAGTCTTAAAATTGTTCAATTTTGATTGATTGGTGTTCATTTAGTAACTATTATAATATACAATTATCATTATAGGATAAACACGATTTATTAACCGCTAACGAAAATTTCATTAAAATACTCAAAAAACCTAATCTAACTTGGTGTAAGATTATCACTAATCATTTTTCGTCTTTTCTCTCTTTACTATACAACTAACTATATTTATTAACCTATACTTACTAATAATCAGACGCAACAATTACCATCAAACATAATATTATTATCATCACAAATCACAGCAATCGTCGCAGCAATCATTGCAACAACCGCCGTCGCTTTCCTCATCACCTTCATCACAACATTGTCCGTTATCATCATCATCGTCATCGTCGTCATCACCATCTTCCTCATCGTCGTCATCTCCATCATAATCATCTTCGTCATCATCGTCATCATCATCATCATCATCATCATCATCATCATCATCATCGTCATCATCACCATCATCATCATTATAACGATCACTGTCTTCACCTTCGTTTTCTTCGTTTTCTTCGTCATCTTCGTCTTCGTCATCGCCGCCAATTTCGTGCGATTCCTTCCTCTTATTATTAAGACTAGTAGTAGTGGTACTCGCGATGTTGCTCCCCCCATTAATACTGTTAGTTTTATTATTATCTCCAAACTCACGGGCGCCGGCCTTGATATTTGAAACCGCCTCGACGTCTTCGGCCACCGGTTTGTTCAAAGTTTCTTGGCTGCTATCAATATCGTGTCGACGGAACCTCCCACCGGAATTATCGCTTGAATCATTTTTGTCAATGTCGCTGTCTTGCGTTTCTTCCCGTTGTTGGTCATTGGGGTTTTCTCGATCCCTGATTCTCCATCTTCTCCTACTCCTCCTACGTTTTCGTAAACGTCGGCCGTCACTGTCTTCTTGGTTTATGTTTCCGTCGGTTACCGGCGAAAAACATTCTGTACCTAAATATTGTGTGACGTGACTGTAAACTGAATGAAGCATCTGGTAATGGTGATCCATCGGAAAACCGTTTTCTATGCCGGTGGCCATTCTTGAATTGCTCAAGTCTGCATCCGGCATAACGAGCTGTGACACTCTCATGGAGCCAATTTGGATACGAGGCTCATCGACGGCTGGTTCTTCGGCTGGTTCTGTTAAATTCACTTTACCCATTTCGGGATCCATAGATACGTGTTGCTGCTGTTGTTGTATAACCCCTCGGACGAGCATCATCGAATGTTGCGGGTGTATAGTCGTGTCCGCAGTTCCGTGTACCACTAATAAATTTATTCCTTTTCCGTACGAAGACGGCAAGTATGACGACTGGTTCAACGACGAGGCAGCCGGTATTAGATCCGAATGGGCGTACGATTTCCAAGTACTTCTGTGTTGTCCCCCATAAAAGCCGTAATATCGTTCAGCGAATGCCGACGCTACAAAAAATAATCGACATTTTAAAACAGGTACACGACACATAATATTAACCATAAACATAAAACATATATATATATAAAAAATTGTGTATAAATAATATTTCGTAGCCACCTCGTGAAATCGATTTATCATGAAAAGCAAACGCTTTATTCACACATCATGAAACACAAAAATGATATTTCACGATGCGCGCACGTTTTCACTCGAATTTGACATCGTGTAACTTTTCTCGACTGATGTGGTCGACCACCCTGTGAACTGAAACAAAACATTTATCGCACTCGACTTTATTGTCGTATTATTATATTTTATATTTAATAATCCTAATCATGCGTGTAGTCCGACCATATTTTATTCCGAAAATCGATTAATCACAAAGATTATCCTTATGTATTACTGCGTGTATTATAATGCATACTGTACAATCTTAGACGAGTCGCGGCACAGTGGTAGGAAATCCAACTTTAGGCGGATCAAATTTAAAAAAAAAATGCTAAAAAGTTATATTTAATACATGGTATTTTATCTATACAATATATATATATATATCAATCCTCGTGATATTGAATTCAGTCAATAAAACTTGTCATTTTTCTGTTGTCCGTGTTCAAGGTACTTTCATAAAATTTACAACACCATATTGTATTTCATTATGGCATTAGACGAGAAAGGTAAGTACATCGGGGCCTGATTAATGAATTTTCCACCAGTAGGCTAGGATCGCCCACCTAATATCCTCGGTCAGGTTAGAAAATTCCTTAGAAAAATCCCAAAAAATAGGAGATCCGATTTCGAAAATGATCAATGAAAAAAGAAATGTTTTTGTTTCGCCCCCTACCAATGAACGGCGCCCTACGCTATAGCCTTTTCAGCCTATTGGTAAAATTGGCTCTGTAAGTGCTAGTCCATATTTCATAAATAAATATATTCAATTTCAATTGAATACGTAATGTGTTCCTTATTTGTTATATTTTTTTAAACTATCGTAGACTGCAGATCGAAAGCTATCCAAAATGATCAATAGCGAATAGGTGCGTTGTACAACTTGTCCGTTTTTCAAATATATAACTTTTGTTTGCATCTAGTTACGTCTGTTATAAGCATAATGCATTTAATTTTTAGTTCCCGATTTATGTACATTAGTATAGAGTGTTCTGCATTGTTATCCTAACACTAATAACTCAGTAAATATTTAATTTTTTTTTAATTGGGATTTGTGCAAAGGGAACACAAACTTATGTAGAGAAAAATTAAATTTTTATTTTTATCATTTAATCACCGAAAAAATAGCTTTTAACGTGTCAACTTATTAAGATTTTCCAAGAAGTAAGTTTGTAAAATATATAGTTCTAACAATTTTAATGTGTATCCGATTAAAATTTGCTCAGTTATAATGGTTTTAATGTATAGAAAAAAGGCGTGAATAAAATCAATATTCAATAAAAGATTCTAAAAAAAGGAATTACCATGCTGATTGTAATTTCTTATCATGTAACATGTTATTCTGGTGAAAATTATCTGTTTCACATCAATTTTTTAGAAACTAAAACGGCTAATACTAAGAAACCGTTGATCGGATATGATTGTATGTAACATTGAAATTTCGGGAATAATTGTCTTTTAGAAAACGGCAATTTTGAAAATTTTAAAAATGATAAAATAAAAAGTAATTATTTTTTCAATTTAAGGGAAGAAAATAAAATTAAAATTTGTCTCTATATATATATGTTCCTCTCGCACAAAATCCGATAGAAAAAAAATATAAAAAAAAAACGAATATTGGCAGAATTTTCAGCATAAGAATAACACTGTAGGGCACCTGTGTATATTCAGTTGTGAAATTGTATGCATTTTTTATAATTGTTGACTGTTGATAAAGAATTTATATTTATTTGGCAAAAGTACGTTGGTTATTTGAGTTTTTTTTTTTTAGTTCAAAGTTCCTAAATGAAAAAGCCAGTTAAAAATAATTTAAGAGGAGAATAAGACAGTGGCTGAATCGAATTTTAATTTTAGGCAAACCAAATGGTTTGGATGCTTAGAATGGTTAAAAATTCAAAACGGTGTGACTGTAAACCAAAATGGATTTTGCGACGGTACACATTCAAAATTGACTCGCCTCTTTACGCTCAATAATATTGGCTAAAGATATCGGAAGAGTATATAAGGGCGTTCTTTATTTTTGTACCCGAGAAAAAACCAATTCAAAACTAATTTTAAAAAAACTTGTTCAGATTTTTATTTTGACGCTGGATGGCACGCCGCAGGAGTTGAATTTTTCCATTTAAAATACACGCGTTTATTTAAATATTTTAATTTGCTGTTAAATTCTCAGTATATCAAAAAAAATAATTTTAACTGGTAGGAATTGACTTACTACTATCATTCTTCGAAGGGAAAAAAACTAATTTTGACGGAGTTATAGATATTATTTTTGATTTTTTTTTTTTTTTTACAACTCCGTCAAAATTAGATTTTTTTTTTCTTGAAAAAGAGCTACTATTATAGTTGTTAGAAAATTCCTTATAGTTTTTAAATGTAATTTAAGTGGGGAAATTCAACCCTCGCGGCTATGAAATAAACACAATATACACTAACAAATTATTAAAAATGTTTATGTTTAAAAATGAAATACATTATACTCGTATTACGCATAAATCGGGTACGTTTTTTCTTTTTTTTTTTTTTTAGATTTGGAACGTAGCGAGAGATCTATGGGTTTGACTATGATGTGCAGTGCGTTTTTGATTCTCGATAAAGTACGTGTATATCAATAGATAACATTAAAAACACGGTTTATGCCACTGAATTTATTTTAACTCCAGATAAACGAGTTTATCACTGCGTAGATATTTGATGCGACCCGGCATAAAACGATGAACCTCGCCGTACCTATATCTGAAATAAACTTGGACAAGGCTATTAATGAGTTATACATTTTAAAACCGAGAAGAATTAATGTTCGTTTTTAATTTGTATAACACGTTCACATATAACGTGAACCTTGAATGACCTTGTAATGATTTAAAATAATTCAAACATATATAAATATATTAATAACACACATTTTCATTTTATAAATATTTGCCATATCAATATCAAGCAGTTCAAACATAATGATATTTTATTAATTATCATTTTTTTTTTTTTGGATTCGTAGTGTATCTATTGGTTTTACTGCGATGTGTGGTACACATTATCATTTTTTTTCCTTCTATAAACGACTTTTCGAAAAGACATCTTGGTCCGATGTGCAGAGTACAGTAGATTTTCTGAAAGGAATGTTTGTCTAGTTGGTGCATCGAGGGGGACATTCTTTTAATTTTCCGAGGGTTTCTCCCAATTATTTTGAAAACCCATCGCACCGAAAACAGAAAAATTCCTTTCAGAAAATGTACTATACTCTATAAACCAGACCAAGATTTCTTTTCGAGAAGTCGATTACAGATAGAAAAAAAAAAAAAAAATTAAAAGCGCACATCATAGTAATATCAATAGATCCCTCGTCATGCTCCGAATCTAAAAAAAAAAAAAAAAAAGCGATCGGACAACAATTATGCATGCATGATTGGGAATATCGAATGTAAATAGTGATACGACAATAGCAGAGTGCAGTTGGTGTTTTATATATTCAATACACACAGCGGTCGACCGCATTGCAAAAAAAACTGCATGATAACAAATTCGAGTGACCACTACACGAAATCACCGAAACGGTGATCAATTAATTTTCGTATATCACGATGGGGGACGAAAAGGCCGTTTCCTTTACATGGACGGATTTCAACGACAAGATTGATTTCGTTGAGTAGCGGCTTTAACGCCGCGTACAGGTCGATTCAAAATGTATGTTTCATGTTATCAGTTAAATAGATAAAAATGTAAAATATAAAAGTTTTTAGATTTACGAACGTCTAAAATAATTTGTACATTTTTCTTTCCCGTCTTTTTTTTCTAGGGAGGAAGGGATCAACTTTCGATATTCATATGGAAACCTATATTTAAAATACCATAAATCAGATGAAGAGTTAGTTTAAATACATTTTCGAATACTGCGGCTCTTGTTTGACGGCACAGCCGGAGTTGGGCATTATTAAAATACAATTATTTTATTTAGATGATTATTAAAATAAAATAGTATTCGAATGCAAATGTATTCGAATAATAATTTATATAACATAATATCGAGCTGTATACAAAAATATTGTTTGGGCCAAATAGATTATATCTTATATTACAGGGCCAACTATTGTTTTTTTTAATATTTACGTATTTTGAATTACCGGTTGGTAATGGTTAACCAATTAAAATAAACGAAAACTATTCGAGTAAATATCAGTTTTCAAATTATTCGAATAATAATCTAGATAAAATTTTGCCCAACTCTAGGCACGGCATGGGGCGAAGCGCGTTGGGACCAGGAAGTTTGGGCCACTAATAAAACTGCAACCCGTTTGGATCAGGATTTAGTAAACCTGTTTGGACCAATATATTTAAATTTCTTTAAAGGCTCGCTCAATAAACGTCCAGTTAAACTGATTTTTAAATAAAGTAATAAGTAAATTATTTAGGTTTACATACAATCTCTATGTATAAATTTAGTTTTGAAACATACGAAAAATTCAGTGATATTAAATATATACCTATATCTAATATCTTCATATAAAAGATGTCTGTGTATCAAGGTCTTATATAAGATAATGCAATACAGATAAAATACTACTATATAAATACTCGCTAAATAAACTTTCAGTTTAACTGATATAAGGAAAATTCTGGTCCAAAGAGGCTGTATAAAATTAGTATTTTTTAGCCCAAACAAGTCTTCAAAATTGGTCCAAACGGATTGTGTTTCAGAAAAATTAGTCTTAAATTTAGACTCTAAACGAATTCTGCCCACGACGTTTGAATAGAGCTATTCCACTACTCTCCCACTGCCTATACTGAAAAGTGTAAAATCTCGTCGACAAGAAAACAAACATTTTCGACGCTAAAATGTATTCAAATTAACATTCCATATTTTTATGAAATTTCAAATATAGGTTCTCGTTTGAATTACAAAATTCGACACCCCCGAAACCACCGTAGAAGACGGTAAAATAAAATTACAAATTATTTTAGATATTGATGAATTAAAAAACTTCTGTACCATACATTTGTATCCGTTTGGATACACTACTATGTGAACATAATATATACGTGGTGATTTATAGAATTTTTTTTTTTTTTGAAAACTTACGAAACAAATCGCTTTAAAATTTCACGTTATCCTTTTGTTTGCCACCCTTATTTTCAGAGGGTGAATGAAATCAGTTTGATTTTCCAATGGTAACCTTAACTATAAATACTATAAACAGACGAGAATAAAATAAATTTTGGAAATTTTTGGTTTTTGTCAATCCCTCGACTCAAAATTAATAGTGGAATATATTTTCAACAGACAGACGGAAATCAAAAATGTCAACGCCAAAATGTATTTTAATTAATACTCTCATCTATTTATAGAATTTATAGTGTAGGTTACCATTTGAAAATCAAAAGTATGTAGTGATTTCACCCCTCCCCCCCAAAAAAAAACAAAATAAAGGTGACAAACTAAATAATAACGTAACATTTCAAAACTATTTGTTTCTTAAGTTTGCAAAAAGAAAATGTTTATAAATCACCACGTATATATTATGTTCACATAGTATTTGAGAATATTTACTGACAGGACGAATAAACGAGACCAGCAAAATCCCTTCGGTCTGCAAAGACCGAAGATCTAAGCTTGTTAATAACCCGTTGGAGTCGTCAACGGAACATTAAACATGAACAATAACACTTTGGTAATGATTGTACTTACCATAAAGCCGCCAAGTATACACGGGCGCCATGGTTATGGCGCATTTAAACGACGAGTGGATCGCTACGGGCTCCTTTCTGTTCTCGTCCTCGGGCATTTTGTCATTTTTTTTCTCGATGGGCGCACCCCCGTAAATGGTTTGCCACAGTGCCATCCGGGCGGTGGCGTAACCCCCATATACCGACGGCGGGGTGGATGGCGTCGTCGGACCACCGCCCAGTAACGCCACTCTGTTCGCGTCCACGTATGGCAATTGGAGCGTTTCCGAGTTTCCGGCACTTCTGCGACCTCTGCCGCGGCTGTTTTCGCCCCCGTCGTCATCCTTGTATTCATTTTCCCTGGGGACGCCCGCGTAGTCGTTATAATCTTCCCCGTTGCTATAGTAATAATAGTAATAATCGTCGTTATCGTTTTTATGATTGTCGTCGTATTCCGCGTCGAGATAATCGTCATCGTCGCTATAGTACCTTCTGTTTAACATGGGTACGGACGGGATCCATCTGGGACGATCGCGGCTCAGACGGCCTCCTCTGGGAAGATCTTCGGTGTAATAGCCTTGTCCATCATCGTTCATCCCATTCCCGGTGTACGTGGCGCTCGAGAGCAAATACTCGACCGCCTCCAGTTGATCACGGATATCGGACGTGCCGAGCACACCGCCCGGTCCGTCGCCGTTCATGTTTTCGCCGAATCCGTCGGTCTTGTCGCCGTAGTTTAACGCCAAAAGCGATTCGTATCCCCGAGCCCACGTGCCCCGGCCCGGGTCCACCACGGCCACGACGTACTCGTTGTTTTGACTGGCGTCGTTTTGTTCGTAATCGTAACCGTCCGAGTACCTGGACGTGTAGTACCTGACTCCCGAGGACCGGCGGCCCCGGCGTTTCCTCGGTCTACGGCGGTTCCATTCGGCGGCGCCGCCGTATCTCGCGCTCGCCACGTCCAGACCGCCGGCGCCCGTTTTGCCGAACGCTCCGGAAACCAGCAACCCCGTCGTATAGCCCAGTCGGTCGGAAAATCGGTCGGTGATGGCCTGCGATCCCGGGTCCGAGTGCACCACCACCAGCATGGGGTACAGTTTCCTGATCCGGCGATGGCGCAGCCGCTCGTGTTTTCTCCTCGGCCGTTTCGATCCGTCACCGCCGTCGTCGGCGTCGTCATCGGGTGAAAACGACGAGCGCTTCTGTCGGCGGCGGCCGTTCGCGAACGTCGAGCTGCCGCCGGCCCGAGCGGAATCCCCGGAATTTTTTTTGTTGGTTTTGCCCGCAGGGGAAGCGCCGGAGTTACCGGCACGATTCGGCATGAATTCCGGACGAGGATCCGCTTCGGGGTCGTAAACGCCGAGCGGAAGATACAATCTGACTTGGGCCACGGTCAGTGGATCCGTGTCCGGACCTTTTCTGTTGGTGAAATGTTGATCCAGGTCGCCGCCGTTACTGTAATAGTCGGCCGCGGACAGCGGGTCGTTGAAATGCAAACCGCCCGCGGTGGTCAGTTTGCGGCCGCCGGAAAGCCTTAGCTGGAACGTCCTGGTGCCCGGCAACAACACTTGATTCGTGTACTTGTCCTGCGGAAAATAGTTTCGGATAATGAACGTTACACATTATTATTTAAATTATTATTGAAACCCGATCCCGAGACGTTACCTGCAGACGGGTGTTGTTCTCCAGAAGGGCTACGAAATCGTATGCGTAAGAAGAATCGTTGAGCTGTTTGTGCGCGTTGTGCGGTACGCTGCGGAGCCGGTCGCCGGTTTTACTGCCGTTGGTGTCGCGGTCGCCGTCGACGTCCGCCGCGATCCGGTGCAACGTGACGTACGGCACCGACGGACCCAGACATATCAGAGCGTAATTCCGGCCGTCCCGGGAGAATTGGGCGTCGTAGTACGTGCAGTGTCTTATCGCGCCGCGGTTCTCCTCGCGTTCCTGGCGACGGTCCTGTTGCTGACGACGTTCGGCTTCTGTACGGGGATCGAGAGTGTGGATTGGAGTGAGGCGAAGCAGAGAGGAGGGGGGGGAGAGGGGCAAACAAAAATTTTAGAAAACGCGATTCGGTAAATTCGCGCACGCGGCGAAACTCTGTCCGTGAAATCCGTATCGACTAATAATATCTTACCTTCCGCCGTGGCCACATCGTCCTCGTCGTCCTGCTTGTGTTCCCACCGTTCCCGTTGTTGCTGTCTCAGCCGATCGTCCCGCGCCTCGTCCATCCGGTCCTGTTTGCCGCCGAATTCGCGACGTTCGCGCTTGAGCGCTCCGTCCGCCGCGGACTGTTGCGCGTCGCAGCTCAAACATATCGGCCGGCTGCGAGCCACGTGACGCACCGGTTTTCGGGTCTGATGGTGGTGCACGGTGCGGCCGCTCGTGTCCACGTTCGTGGCCGACAAAGCGTCCACGGGCGTGTACTTTACCGCGTACAGGTGACGGTGGTGCGGGGCTCCGCGACCCGACGGCACGGCCAAGAAGTATCTGGAAAACGCACAAACGATCGTCGTTTAACAGGATGCTACACACGCTTTTTATAGTACAGTCGAATCCGCTTAATGGAGACACCGGTTAATAAGGACAACCGCTTAATAGGGACAATTCTTCAATTACGAAAACAAATGTATACTTGTAGGGTAAACGTTCACCGCTTATCTGGGCTACGAATTCGGATAATTGGGACATTTTTATCGAGTATATTAATAGATCAGTAATTCGAAAATCGCGACCGACTCGCGTAATCGTTTATTAGATTAAATTTTATCTTATCGTATGTTCACAAAGGAAATTTTTCCTTTTCGTTGAATTCGTTGAATGCCCCATCATTGCTTTGGATGNAATAATACGCAAGAAACAAAGTAATATTCATAGTGTTTTTAAATAACATAAAATACAATGTACATTATATATGTGTATATATGTACTTTATATTAATTATGTATGTATGTATTTTTATAAATAACTAAGTTATAATACCGTGTTTTTCTTTTTGCAATGTAATAAAAAATTTAAATAAAGTCACTAGTAAAACAATTTCAAAAAATGTATGTCATTTATGTATTTCGGATTATTGGGACAAAATAAAATGCAACCGATGTGTCCCAATAAAGCGGATTCGACTGTAATAATAATAATAATAATAATAATAATAGAATTGCAATAATAGAATATCTACACGTCTACACGGAAATTCAACAAAATCATTTTCAAATATCGCAGCGCTCTCTATAAGCTATATGCTTGTGCGGAATAGGGTCGGTTCGGCTTCGTTATCAGAATACGGCCTCGTGATAAGAAATTTTAGCTGATAACCGAAATTAAGAATTGGAACTCTAAACTCAAATAAAGAAGAAAAAAAATATACAAATTATTACCAACCATCGGGAATTATAAATAGTTCTGGTAAGAATTTGGAGTTTATAAATGTATCACCTTGCTCCTGGACAAGGTATATTATTTATCCAAAATCTATCCGTTTGGTCGATAATATTCTTACTTCTGAATTTGGTAACAAGTCAATTCGTTCTAAAATTAAGTATAAACTTTACCTACAAATTATTAACACTTGATCAGTAGTCATATAAATACAGTATAATACATAATTCGTTTTTCTTTGTTATCTAGTATTTATTTTGTGACACTCTTAAAAATTTAGAGCTACAAAAAAAGTTGCATAAAATATGTATAAATATAATTCTAATTTACATTAGAACGTTACATTATTTTTGTGATAGGTACATAATTAAAACGGGAATTTTTATATTTCAAAGCTGGTACTCTTGCATTTTCGGACGGCTCCGATTTAGAGCCCATAGCAGTTCTCTTTAAAGTGATTGCAAAAAAAAAGAAATTTTTTCAGATCAAATTGACCAACACTTAAACCTAAAATCCCTAGACTATTACCATAATGATAATTATTTTTTTTTTGCTACCATTTATTATTTATTATTATTATTTGTATAATCATTGATTGTACTATACATTTTGGTGAATGTGGTAAATTTAGAAAATGACAAGAAAAATGTTTTCGATAAACATTGAATAAACTGACTATAAGATTTGTATGCCTTTGAAATCAAAATTATTAGATACAGTTTTCAGATTAGGGTTGTATAGGCAGGGCATTAAAGAACATGTTTATAGTACCTTAGTATAGGTAGCCAGATATGCAACTACAATAATAACAGTATTAAATTATTAACTCAATAGTTCTGTGAACCGAAAGTTCTAATATTAACACTGATTGCAGGGATAAAGACTACAAGTATATAAGTTTGAATTAAATTTTTATATTTTGCTAAAAAAATTATTTAACTCGTGTCGATGATAAAGCAAATAAATAAATTTCAGTATAGGCTGACACAAAAACTGATATTAATTTATTATATGGAATAATTAACATTTTTTTCGGTTGGTGTAAGATATTATTTTTTTGTTTTTTCTTATTATTTTTAAGATAACTGCTTTTGGCCCTCCGATTTAAGCGCTCATTCTGTGAAATAAATCTGACTGTTATCTTGTGGGACCAAACTGCAAGATGCCCTGCTTGTGCTGAGAGTGCGGTTTTTATCAATGAATATTTACAATAGATATAAAAATTTATTAATTATTAATTATTTAACAAAATAGAAAAAGAAAAACGAATTTTATAATAAACGTACACTTATTTAATAGCTAACAAATGACAATATTACATAAATATATTGAAAATTACAAACTCGATTATTATCAGTAGATATAGGGAGTTAAAACATGCTAACACAGATAACATAGAATTCTATGAACTTTTCTTCTAAAATTTGGTTTTAGAAGAAAAGTACTTATCATGAAATGAATAGAGAACAATATTCCGGAGAGCAAGACGTTGCGTTTTTTTTAATTTTCTCCGAATATAACAGCGATTTACCGTTTATTATTAACGATTTTTTTTAACGATTTTTTCTAATTCGCCTTAACTTCAAAAAAAAAAAAAATATGTTTTCCAAAAAACGTAATGTTTTTTCTTTCGGAATATTGTTCTCTACTAATTTTATTCTATATGCTTTTACTCTAAAACCGAAACTAACCGAGTTCTGTGTAATCTACGTAAACATGTTTTAACTATATTATTTTGTGATTTTTAAGACGAAAACAACACATTTTGTTGTTGCATTTAATGCATGTGTAACGTCCTCTTAAGAGGAGCACGCCGCACTCACAGCATGCGTGCCGTCTCCGCCCGACTACCCTGGTGACAATGCTCATACGCGGACCAAGTAAACCTAGCTTGATTTCAATTTTAGAGTAAAAGTACCAATAATTCATGAATAGGACACGGATGTTGTTGCATATGTATCTTTTTTTCTATATTCTCAATTTATTGATAAGTAAGTTTTAATTACGTTTCATGTAGGTACAAATTTAAATCTAGAAGTTTTAAGGGCAATTTTTTACAATTTTCGGAATTTTGTTGAATTCATTTGTTTATACAACTATTTTAACAATAGTCAACAATCGTATAGATAATATTATACTATAATATCACGAGACATAAAATCTAATAATGATATCTTATCTTTAAACAATACAAAAATAATTTGTGAATTGTGACTGTTTGACTACTGTAATCTGTTTTCAGTCACTCCGTGAATTTTGAGCAATTATGTTCTGTTAATGTTTTGTAAATACGTCGAAAATTATGCCAACTATTTCCACTTTAGTAAACAAATTGTGATTTTTTAGTGCAATTTTTAATATTTTAGTCCAGTTTTCGGTATTTTTAGTGCAATACTGCAATCAATTTTACTATTTTTTTACTGCTGCAACATCCGTGCAATATTTATGAAATTTATAGAGAACGATAATCAGGAAGAAATGTCGTAGGTGTTTTTGGAACTTATTAAGTTTTTTCTAAAAAAAAAACTATAAAGGTTTGTGTGCCTTTTTTTTTTTTTTTTTTATCAAACTGTACATCTACGACAATAAAACAAAAACTCGATAAGATTTCCTCCGAAATATTCTTCGCTGTAAATTTCATATCGTTACTTTTACTCCGAAATCAAAATCAAGCCGGTTTCAACCGGTCTGCCGTAACCATTGTTTTCGCATGTTGCTCGGTATAGTTAAATACAACGACAGGAAATTTTCGTTCAGCAGGGACAAGTAGCGTGCCTTTAGTTTTGATATTAGAATGAATTGACTTGTTATCAAGCTTATAGATGTTAACATTATCTGTGTCGTCCAGTCGTTTTGTTTCGTTAACTTTAGTTTTTAAGTGAAACACGATCGTGAGAAATTTCACGATTGAAAAATGCTTAGGTATAAAACCGTTTAAAATTCAAAATGACGAAAAAAAAAACACGTTAATATACGTATTAATTATACGTGAAGACGCTTAGTTAATAATACACGTGAATTTAATATCCGCGTACACGTGTTTTAGTGTTGTTTACGTATGCACGGGTCTTGCTTATATTACCGAAACAGAAATTTAATACCATCATAGTATTATTGTTACGTGCATGTTTTCGTTGCACCTGTTTAATCGTTCGTACATTATTCGTTTTTTTTTTTTTTGTATTTATTAAGACCACGTTATCGTGTTACAATTATTACGCATCATTTTTCATTCGTAATTTATTATTTACATATTTCATTTTGATAAATCGCGGTATGTCGCGTCCGTTTTTGATTTGCTTGAAATTCGTCGTTAAAATGTACAAATGTACCAAATACTCGTATTAAATTCGTTGAGGATTTCGCATAAATTTAATTAATTTCATTTTTGATTTAAAACGTTTACCGACGGTACGGGTCTAACGAGAATATTAAAATACTAAAATACGTGTTCACGGATTTATCAAATTAACGGTTTTGTAGAAACGCATGTTAACTTTAGGTGAAATAGCGAGGTCTATGAAACAATAAGCCATTTATCGAGTTGTAATGTAGTCGTATTGCACTACCGTATTTTACGGTATTGTGGTTAGCAAATGTATATACCTAATAAAAAAAAAAAAACGTTTTTCTCAACGTTTAAAATAATTTACAGAGCATTTTTCTACCTTTTTTTTTTTTTTTATTTCAGTGCATTAAATTGTATTTTTTTTTCAGGCGTTTTTATTATATTTTAGAGAATTTAAATCCGTACCCTATTAATAATTAATAACACGTGGAACGACGACTTACATCATGTCAGTGCGTTGATCCCACGACAAAATCCTGACCACTGTCCAACTCTTAGTGTTTTCGTTTTTCTTTTTTCTGTCCTTCCCGTTATTCCCGTCGTCGCCGCCACTCTCCATTTCTCCGAACGTCAGCGGCGCGAACAGCTTTTTCGTTATGTTTACGGCCACCACCTGCGCGTAATACTTGACGACCGGCGATTGGTAACGTTTGCCGTTCTTAAGCCATGGTTTCGGGGACGGCCGCCGTAGACGCACGCCCCCTTCGACGAAGTCGTCTTTGTCGTGTTCGTCGTCGCGCACCGGTGCCACGCTCACGTATCCCCGGCCGTCCGCCGCGAACACCGGCGCACGGGGCGTCAGCTCCTTGTCGCCCGTCTCCCAGCCCTTCCGGACCAACGCGGCTGCCACGTATCCGGCGGCGGTGATCGCGTTACCCGGGCCGGCTACGCTCGTGTATCCGTCGTCGCCGACGAAGTTCTCTTTGTCGTCCGGCGTGGTCGCGGCCGACCACCACGTGGCGGTCTCCGAAGTCGGCCAAACCGTGTGCGTACCGTCGATGATCCCGCCACCGGTGGAAGGTACCCCGCCGCCTGCACCGCCGACCGTGGCGTCCACCCATCCGCCGTACCGTGTTCTCGACCCCTCGGTGCCGGAGCCGTTGACGTCTCCGGCTCGGCGCCGGCGACTGTGGTGACCGTTCTGGTGCTGCTGGTGTTGTTGACGGCGGTGGTGCAGCTGCTCGTCTTGCCGATGGGACGACGAAGCGTTGTTTTTGTTAGTCGGCGATCTGCGCAACGTGTCCGACGGCGACGGCTTTTGCAACGGGCCACTGCCGTTGCGCCGGTACCGACGACGCACATGGTCGTTGCCGTTGTTCCCCTGCGCTCCGTCCGCGCCGTCACCACCGCTTCCATCTCCTGCCACGTTGATCACTTGGGTCTGTACACGACACACGATAATTGTACATATATTATTATCAATCAAGAGCACAGCAGTTTTTTGTTAGATTTGGAGCGTATTTTTAAAGATGGGAGGAGTGGGAGCTCGAAAAAAATTGTCAAGGTTTAAAACCATTAATAAAACTATTTCAGAGAACCGACCACCACTGCCGTAAATTTTAGCTACGTTTAATACCGGTAACTGATTGTCTTTATACGGATAAGTATCGTGTATTCCATGTTAGCTGGTTAAAAAAAATTGCTTTTTTTTTACTGGTTACCGGTTTTAAGAAGCGGTTCGAAAAATATATGTACGAGTTGCCTTGTCACTACATCCAGTCGCATTCGATCGGTTCATGGATTATCGTACTAGAAAGCTGACCGCGTAATGGTTAAGCCAGTCAATAAAGGAAAAATAACGGGAAAAAATTTCGACTGTGAAAAAAAAAACTTAATTAGAATGTTTAATTAATTTTACTAAAAGTCCCAGTGGAATGGACTAGAGTTTTTTTAATGCTCTTCATAGATTTAGCCAATTTTTTTTTTTAAATATTGCATAAATCATTAAAATCTTTAAACTATATAAATGTGTATCATACATTAATATTGCCTATAAATAAAAAGCTTTCTGGAGTGTTTTTTTGAAATGTAAACTTATTTGAACATGTGGTTAATGTAGTTAGCACGTGCGGTTACATGCATTATTTATAAATTATGACCGTAGTTATGTCCCTAATCTGAGGGAATAATAATTATTTTCTTAACGGTTTCGTCGTGGTTTTCGTTATAGTGTGATAAAGTACCTAAGTAAGCTATTTTTTTGCTTTATTTACTGGCCTAGGTTAATGAATTAATGAAACAAATTATAATACCTCTCAAAGCCAAATTCTTATCAATCGAGCACGTGAGGTTATTACTCGGTGTAGAAGAGTGTTTTAATGCGTTTATATGAAATACATATAGTAGGCAATGCAGTGCGCATTGGTTTTGCTGGTGAAACATGACAATTAAAAATTTGCACTAGTGCTGTAGATTGACGAAACATGCACACAATAGTTGGATATTATTATTGATTATTCTTATTAAACTGAAATGAAGAGGTGGTACATATGATAATATACACTTATCCCCAAGTCAGCGCCGACTCATTTATAGAATAAACTGAAAGAATAACGATACAGTAAAATTTGACTAATTTTATTCTACGATGATGCAACACAATGCGTCGATTTTAATCTGTCCAACAATATTCCGTTAGAAAAAAATAATTAGGAATAACATAACGATATAAATGTTTTGAGACTAGTATGGATAAATTATCTAGGTAAATAGTTGAAAGTTATCTAATTATTTATCTAAGATGAAAAATTAATCTATCTAAATAAATTCGACTCTATACTAATTGTATATATATATATATATATATATTATATTAAAACTGTACATTTTTATTGTCAATTTATCGTTTTAATAATTAATTATTTAAATACTTTTAATATTTTATTAATAAATAATTCATATTAACTGTGCATAAATTATATTATCATTATCTTAACATCAAATAAAGTGTTCTTTTATTTATTGTATAGTATATACATATGCAATGCGCATAGTGTAAATGATATTGCATGTACTTTACCCTATAACAATAATTGTATATCTTCTAGTACATACTAAAACAGTTGTGAAGGTTCATAATAATTAAAATTTACTGTGACGAATCGTGAATATTTTTTTTTTATTATATTTATACTTAATTTTGAAAATGTTTATTCAGTTTTAGTTTCGTTATTGACAAACAATAATGTCTACTACTAGCATTAATTTAAACATATGGCCGATGTTTAAATAATATTTAAGTACTAAGGTGTGCTCTCAAAAAGTAAAACTTTTAAGTAGGTATTAAAAAAATTTAATCTTTTTTTTTACCTAGATAATTTTTGTCGTATAATCTTTATATTTATTTAGATAAAAAGTACTAATCTAATCCCAACACTGAATATAATAGACCAATATGAATCCAAGAATATTTCATAATATTTTGTTTAATGATTCCAAGTAATATACAATGATTCTGAACAAACGCCCCTTTAATAATCTCATGCCATAGGCATATTATGTATATTTTTAAACGTAATTGAGAAAAAAAAAAAATGTAAAAAAAAATGTTAGTCAACCCTAACGATATAACCACTATTCTAATTTATCGAGCTCCCTACATACCGTTGAAAGTTATATAGTTGCTTATATTTAGTTGCTCTTTAAGCAGAAAAGTATAGTGTAAACGGTTAACAAAACCTTATAACGGCATTATTTACCTACAGTATTTCCGCTGATTATCGGTTATTGTTGACGTGTAATTTAATATCAAAGCGCACCCTAATAATTTTCGAAACCACCATTTTCCAGATATTTTAGGAGAGCTGCAGCTTTTCTACAAATAGGCCCATGTAAAGGAACGCGCCTCTCTAATAAAAAATTTCGGTTTGGTGATTATTTTTAGGTTATTTTGCTGTACCTATTTTATCACTCTAAAAAATAACAGGTTATATTTAAAATGATTAGTATCCTCCTACCTTAGATATTTTGTTCTAGTTACGATACAGCGTACCCACGATTTCCATAATCCTTTTTTTTTTTTTTAAATATTTCACACAGATCGATTAACCTAACGATACTCATTATCTCGAAAATTAATACATTTTTCCTAATTTGTTTTCAGAAAAATTCAAAAACGAGTCGCTCTAAAATGTTACATTATCTTTATTTGATATTATCTTTATTTTTGTGTTTGAAACCTTTACACCCCATTGATTTTCTAATAGCAATCTAAATTAAAAAAATCTCTAAATAGGCTAAAGTTTTAGTTTAAATACATATCGAAGATAATAATATACTCGTTATCAACCTATAAACTTATACTTTCAAGCATTATTTAATTTTTAATTATTGTAGAACGTGAATGTAATAATTTTGTATTATGCACAGAACATATATTTTGTATGACAAAAATAAATCATTGTTTTTATTAAAAAAGTAATTATTGTACGATTAAAATGATCATACTAGAATAACAGTAATTAAATTGTCAAAGAAGGCTGACAGATCCAATTATTCAACCCAGATATTCAGGGCTGGATTTAGACTTTCAGATGCCCGGAACAAATCTTTTTTTGAACTCCTTAGCGGTAAAAAAATTAAAAATACTCAATGTCTAAGTGGATAAGGAAAAAATTTAAAATTTACAAACTTACATTATTATCAATATAAATTATTATTGTAAAACTGCATAAATACATTTTATTTAATGATATTTAAAATTTGTAGATAAATATCCAAATTATAGGTTCGTCAGAAAAAAAGAGGTTTTTAATCGAGGAAAAAATATAAAAATATTGTAATAGCTAAATAAATTAATTTAATTATGTCATTATTATCAATATTATCATTCGACGTGAGGAAGGGGACAGAAAAACCATTATTTCTGAATTGAGACATGACATGCAAAACGTTCTGTTATCAACTTTTTTAAAAATGGAGTTGGACATTGACTCGTATTGTGAAAATAGCAGGGAATCGATTGGTGTTGTCAGAAATAATTTCCGACGACGTTTTTTCTATCCTTGGACTCACCCTTGATGTTTATTACGTGTACTCGTGATAATAAAATGGTACTGAGAACTTCATTATTTAGGTATCTTTAAAGGTTATTGAGGTGACGAATTCAATATTTGACCTATCAGTCTGATACTAAAGAACATGAATGGAAATTTTTCCAATCCGATATTGTGGATATTTCCTTTACTTGGACACAAAGTTTTGGAAAAATGCCACTTAATTATTATAATTTTATTTTCTGTAATGTGCATTCTATTTTACATTTATTTTCTATTTGTATACCTAATTAGCTATTGGGTTTAACTGCGGCTAAAGCATGTCAAAAAAAAAAAAAAAAAAAAAATGACTGACGTGAACGACCTTTATACTCAAAATTGATCGCCCACGTCATGACACAACTCCTTTATTTGCAATTTAATTGTTCATTACCTCACTGTATTCCCTCGCCTTGATGCCGAAAGCATAATGGTGTTGACGGATTAGGTAAAACTAAAATGTCTCAAAATTAAAATACGCACGGCTCAGGAGCTCCAGAACTTTCTAAAAGTGAATTTCTAAAAATAAATGTATACAAAAATAGACTATATTAACTTTGGATTAAAAGTAACATCGTGTTCATTATGCAATATGTTTTACTGATTATAATTGTGTTCTTCTGTTGTGTAAAAGTCTAAAACCGGATTATTTCTCTGGGAATTTCTTATTTAGTATCCAAGGGGAGGATGTTTTGCTAACATTTTTTTTACAGACACGCATTATTGGAAATTATTGTAAATGGGAAAACTGGTATACGTTACCTCCTGACACATCCATAACGGCGATTTGCACAGTGTCGTTATACTCGTGTTTTGAGCACGATTCAGCCACACGACGCATATTTCGGCTACTGAAGCACCCGGCATATTTTCATCATCATCTTGACTGAGTAATCCGGCGCCGGCGCCCCCGGCGCTCACCCACTGAACTGCCGTGAAATAATAATCGCTATCGAACACGAATAATATCAAATTTATTATTATTATTAACGTATATTATTCATATGTCCATCCAGTGCTCAAATTGGAAATATAAATGGAGCTGGATTATAAAACTTAACCTAATACTTAATAATTATTATATCCCTTGCAATTATTTAACTCAATACAACCCGTGAGCAGATTCACCTCCTACACCTACCCAATTTCCAATCACAGTTTAATGATTTAAGAAAAAAAAAAAAAACAAAACACTTATAACCCATGTATTGCATACCTCATATATAGCATAGATTAAGTTTTAGCTTAATTTTCTATTTATTTTAGATACTTACATAGTAAGGAAATTGTTAGTTTTACTATAATGTATTTTAATATTTTTTCTGTTTGTAGACAACTTTTTGATCATAAATCTTACTACGGTTATCAACTTTAGGGGTTGTTTCTTGAAGAAAATGTTGTCTATTTGGTTTTCTAAGAATGATATTACATGACTTACATTTGTCTTAATGATAGGGGAAAATTGAAAAAAAAAACCTCTGGAAAACTGGAATATTTATATAGTAACGGTATCGGTTGAATTCGATTTTGTTTTTTTGTTATAATTCATTATAGAATAATTGTGAAGACCGAATATTTCACTGAATATTTGTATACACGTTACATTAGTTTTTTCTAGATATTGAATCATTTTTAAAACATTCTGGCAATTTTTGAAATATTTATAAGCATCTGAAATTACCGAGATGTTTAGTTGTTATATGGTTTCAATCAATAAAATTGTTTTGGCTCAGCGAAAATGTTCTAAAATTGATCATTAGTTGCATTAGTGGTAAAAAAAAAAAGTTAAATGAACCTAATGAAGTGATTTTTTTATAATCTTTTAAAGTTCAAATTCTAATTTTAAAAAAAAATGTTGATAAAAAAATAAAATTGTATCATTCTTTCAGCCTTTCACACATAAATTATAATAGAAATACGCTAACATTTTTGAAAGATAAATTAAGGTACTCCATTTTCTAAAGCCCCCTTCAAGTCGAGCCTTGTGTCTATCAAAATATGCTTACTCGGTATACTGGAAAACTGGTGGTGGTGTCAAAGTCCGTATTTTCGGTTTTATTTGAGGATCTTCAAGTTGGTCGAGATTGACGATCACTGACAAGGTGACAATGGGATTTGGAGTGTTGGCCTGTGGAAAAACAATACGATTTGAAAAATATTACAATATTGCAACATGCATGTTGCTTACAGAGGCGGCTACCTCCAAAAGTACAAAAAGTGCTCTACTATAAATAACTAATGCCCCTATACATTTTATTTCGGTTTGATACCAAAAATTACTCATGTCATAAGCCATTTTATTTTTGCTTCATACCACTACATCCCAAATCAATTAACTAAAACACTGAATATTTTAAAAAGAGGAATAATCATGTTATACAATGTAAAATAGAACCTATCGAATAAGTAAAATATGTAGAATATGTGACTAAATTTCTAGGCTTTATAGTATTGTTCGTAGTTAGTAGTCCGTATTGTTATGTTGTTATAATATTAGTATTTAATGTTAAATTGTTTCCTAGGTCCTTCTTTTGAAATTTTATAATGATTAGTTAACAATAATAGACGTCGTAAACACTAACGTCGTCAGTTTGGCAACAAAGAAAAATTAAGAAAAATAAACACTATGTGTCTTCGGTTATAATAATTACGATTTAAAATAAGAGCGGAATTCATACTAAATAACCTTGCACAGCTCACTATTATGACGCTTCATTAACTCGTGATGTGAATATAGTTTATTAAATATAAGTATTGACTATTATAATTCAACATGATCAGTGGCGTGCCCAGGGTTTCTCAATAAGAAAGGATATAGCATAATAATGATAATAATAATTATGAATAATTCGTCGAATCTTCTTCTCTACACGACTTTACTATGAACATTCAAACGTCAGAATTATTTTCGGTCCTAAAAATCAATTTTTAATCGATGAATCAAATTTTTGCTTGTAACTTGACTGAAATACCATATATTATACATTTCAAGATTAAATAACATACTTCTTTTCCTTTGTCTTCATTCTAGTTTTTTGAAGTCAGCCACCCTCGTCGTAAACTTTACTTGACCTGATCCCTTACGTCGTCTCACATATACTCGACATCACTCGTATCATTCTCAATCACATTCAACCTCAATCCCACCTCTTTTATGGTCTACGTCTATTGATATTGTAATTATTACTGTTTCTAATTCGTCTCTCAACGTAACCTTAATTTTACCTAAAAAGAAAAAAACAAATGGGAGGTCAAAGTACCAAAAAAAAAAAAAACCCCTGGCTACGCCAATGATCAACGGTAATATATAATGCATCTGTTTTGTTATCTATTAAACATTACGTTGTAGGCATTTAATAATTTTAAATCCTAATTTATTAAAAATCAATGATTTTGTGGAATGTAAGGTCTAGAAGTCAGGAACCCAACGGCTACAACCACACAACCATCTACCCTAATAATGTAAATGAGGATTTTTTCCGTAAACATGATAGCCGCCATCAACTGCTCAGAAACGTTAACGAATTGATTTATTCCTTATACCTTCGGGTATCTCAGAGAACGAATTTTAGGATATAAATAATATTCAGACATCTCATCTTCGTCATACGCATCCGACGCGTAATTATCATATTTGGAGTTAACGTTCCTTCTTATACGTCTCCGGCGACGTCTCTTTTTTCGCTTTTGTTGTTGTGGATGTTCGTCGGTATCTGGCAGTTCTTCATCTTTGTTAAGCCCACCCTTCATATAAACGGTATACTTGTATTCGCCCACCCGGCGGTCGTCGAACGTCGCATACAACATGTACCTCCCAGACGACGGCCATATTGCTGGTGACCTCTTCAATATCTCGACTGTAAATAACATTATCATTATGTCAGAAATAATTGTGGTACGTTTTTTGCGTACAATACTTGGGATCTAGGACATTTCAGCGCTGTCCGTTCAGCGACATGTCAAAAATACATTATATGGTGAAAATCGTTTTCGTCGCCCATTATTTAGTATACAATTATATTATGTCATATATTTATTATCAAATATTTATATTGCATTAATTAAATAATATAAAAAATACCAGTAGAAACGAAAATTGGTCAAGTAGGTAAAATACAAAAATCAAGAAAATAATAAGTTGTCAGATGCACTGTGCCAGGAGCTTACGAGAAACAAACGGGCTAAGAAAAGAGGTCTGAATCTTAAAATAACTGTTTTATTATATACAATTTATTATTGAATTTTGACGAACCTTAAATGAGTCTTAGAAACTTAAAAACTTAATAATTATGTATTTTTATAAAAACCAAATTATATTCTCTATTATGTAGATACATTTTATCAATTGTTGTCTGTTATACTATCTAGGTAGATAATTTGTTGGTTATCATTTTCCAACACTAACTAGTTATGTTATAATAAATTACATAGGTAAATTCAAAGTAGTTATAATATATGGTAAAACAACTTCGTTCTCAAAATGCGATCGCTTACGACTATAGAAATAAAATGGCCGCATTAAGGTGGAACCGATTTAATTTGACGAATTTACCGGGGGAAATTTAAATATTATTATATTACGTTATTACTTTAGTGTAACTATTCTCAAAATATTCTTAAAATAACATCGTGTTTCCCAATATGTATGCTTTATAATAGATATCTTATTATAAACTAGTTATGTCCCGTTATTGAATTAAATACAAATGCGATGAATGTAAACATTGCCGTATAATCCTTTTTTTAAAAAATGTATTATTATTATTGATTATAACTAACTATTCGATACGAATAAAAATAACATCAAAAAGGCATGAGTGGTGAGTAAATTTTCTGTTAATACATTAGACTCGTGGTTTTCAACCAATATTTTGACACCCCTCTCTCTTAAATATATAAATAGGCAAAATTAGGAGAAATTTAGAATTAGGCCAAAATTAACAAAAATTGTGATTAATATTTAACATGTTTCGTTAGAAATTAAATATAAGATTATAAAATCTTTAACCCACGTAGCAAAAAAAGATTTCCATAATATGAACAAAATATTTTTAGGAAAATTCTATAATGTCGAAATATGTTCGATTATTGTTAAATTATGTGGTAAATGTTATGGAAATATTTTTTGTTCGAATAGTTCATATTTGGAAAATATTTTAGAATAACATCATAATCTCATATTTCTAATACGTTTAATTTGTACGTTTTCTTGGAAACATTATACAAATATTTAGAAAACATTTTTCTAAATCATATAACAAAATATTTTTTTATTATAAGAATAAAATATTTATACGCTATTATTAGTAAAATATTTATTATTTAACCATTTATAAATATTATCATTTTCAAAATGCTGTGTGGAAAACAATGAAAATATCACAATAATTATTACTCTTTTTTCAGATTGTTTACTCAATAATAATAAGGCATTACACTTGTTGATACACAAAAAAAAATTCCGATTGGCTCTACCTTATGAGCCATGACGGCCATACTATTTTTATACTCGTAAGAAATTTAGATAACGAAGTTGTTCTGCCATGTATTATAATTACCTTGCACGAATTATTATTTATGAATAAATAGAAATCGGTAAGGTGTTTTATAATATGTAAAGTTAAAATATAATACAAACTTGACAAAAATTGTTTTCAAAAGTAGCTGTGATATGAAACGTAATTTTTCAAACAATGCCTAGGACCTACAGCTTAACCTGACACAGCATATGATATAGTAAAAATAGTAAACACAAAAATCAATGGTTTTGTTTTAAAAATATTTACATATTTTCATCGGTATAATCACTACCACATAACTTAAATAAAAAAAATAAACCTCATTTTAAAACCAATACATTCTTAGCTTCACTCAGAATCTAAAAGTTATTTTTAAAGCCAGATTTTCGTGTTACACTCTGTTTATATCTATTTTCTGATACATTTGGACACTTTTAACGGTTCTCTCAGGATTAAAAGAGCATAAACTCAGGAACTATGATTTTTTTTATAGGCAAATTGAAGTAATAAAATATTGGTTAAATTTTTTATTTGAATTTTACAATCTCGTTGGATTATGTAGGAGTGTAAGGTGGTTTTTCACTTTGTTAGCTTTACACCCTTACAGATATTCAAAATGAAGCTAAAAGCATAAAATGTTGTATACGCATATAAAGAATAGCATTTCGTGGTTTCGACTTTTAACCCAGTCTCCAAATATTAGTGTGCTCGGATTTCGTATTTGTACACAAAACATTTTAAACACAAAAAAAAAAAAAATAATAATAACTTTATTTATTAACCTAAGACAATTTTTAAAATGGCCGTTTTGTAAAACATATTATTTTTAAAATTTTAATACCCTATACATTCATCTGATTAATATTTTTTTTAGTTATAGCCATTTTAATTTCTAAAAGATAGACGTGAAAATATTTAATATTCAATAAAAAGTAAAGAATTACCGTGCTGATTTCGGTCATTTATCGCATAACGTGTTATTTTATTGGATATTAATTGTTTTCGCGTCTATTTTCTAGAAATTAATTATCGGATATGAATGTATGATAAATTAAAATGTTTGGAATACAATTTTTATAATATGGCTACTTTGAAAATTTTTTCAAGTGAATAAATAAAGTTATTATTTTTTTTTTGTGTTTAGAGATGAAAATGAAAATTTAATTTTTCACCAAATGCCTCGATTAGACTGAAATTGGACCATTTGCAGATTGCTCGATGCCCATGGGTAAAATGATATAGGTAGTACATTGTTGCATTAATATTATACTTTATTATTATAATCATATTGCACTGATATTTTTTTTGCGTTTAAATCAATATTAACCATGCATTTTTTTACACGGGCAAAGTGATTTTTTATAGCGTACTTTTAGTTGGTGTGTAAATAGTTGTTGTGGTCAAATGTCTAGATATGAAACGTAAATTTATAAAACTAACATTTAAGGAATTTCATTTTTCAAGTACTTACTGGTAATGAAATGTTATAGCACAACGCTAATATAATAATAACTGTATTAATGTACAGATGCGTAATGTAATAGTTAAATAATAATACGCACAAAATAAATATCAATGTAATATAATAATATAATAATATATAACTATATTACATGTAATAATATACTACCTATGTAAATCTCTATAATATAGTATAAATAATACGGATGGTATAGCATAACCTCTATAATCACTTTGGAATTCGTGAATTGCCCAACTTTAGACTTCAAGGCGAAGCAAGAAACAGTAAAGTACTTTTGGGCATTGCAATTGCTTAATGTGGTGGTGGGCATATCGAAATGCCTGGACAATTCCGATATTGTCCGGTCACCGGGCTTTAACCCCCGTAGCATAGAAATAGAAATATTTTTGAGAATGTGCCTTTAGAAGGTTTGAACTTCCATCCTCTGACCCCACCGGCTGTTTGTATATTAGCGAAAATCTCGGAAACCACTTAACCTATTTTTATAATTGCTTTTTATTCAATTCTTTAGCATTATGGAAAAAAAAAAAAATCACGAAACATGTAACGAAAACTAGCCAGCTGAGGAAAAATTCAACTCTCATAATGATGAGCCTGAAGTTCATGTCTTTTTTTTTTAGATTCTGAGCGAAGTAAGGAATGTTTTGGTTTTACAATGATGTTTATCGTTTTTTTTATCTTTAAATAACTTTTCTACCAGAAATCTTGCTCTGATTATCACGTGTAGTACTTTTTCTGAAATCAAATTTTATCTAGATTTTCTAAGTGGTTTTTAAAATAATTTGGGGAAAACAATATAGGAAAAACGTGGAAATTTGCGAAACGTATTATTTTTTATTTTGTGTTATTGTTTTAATTCAGTGAAGAACATTTCTAGAAACTTAAAACTTAAAAAAAAAATATTATATTTGATTTTTTTAAAAGTGATACAATTTTCAAACTAATTCAGCTTTTTTAAAGCCAATTATACTAATTTTAATTTTTCGATTTGTTTACGTAATTTTTGTTTGGTAGGTATCTACTCTGTGGATACAATTTTTTAATCAAACAGAAACGCTTGACAATTTAAAATTGGTTCATTATAACTCGTACTTTGTACGTTATTTTCATACCGAAACGACCAACGAGAATAATGTTCTCACCGTACGATGCATTTATGTTCGCTTTAATCGCCGGTACGGCGGCCCCGAAAAGTCCCGTTTCCCGAAACACACGGATGTCGCCTTACTTTCGTACAAATAGTCAGCCACCCCGTTGCTGGTTTCCCCGACCCTGTAAACCCCGGGACCCGACCCGGAAGTGGTGATTCTGCGCGCCGGACCGTACGGCCACGGCCCCAACGAAACGCTGCTGTTTCCGCTCTTGTCACCCGGAGGTCGCGGCGTCGACGACGTGCCGTTGGACGGCGCGGTCACTCGGGAATCGGCCGTCCCGTTGTTCTTCACGGTGGCATTTGCGGCCACATGCGAAACGGGGGCGTCCATTGACCACGGCACGTAAAACAGGTCATATCGGTACACGATGATCAGCGCCATGGACTCCTTGTCTTTTTCCGGCGAAATCGTCGACACCTTGTGCCACTGCGCGTGCAACAGATACGGTTGCGGTTTGGCGGGTTTCCCGGTGCCGTTCCGCGATCGGCGATCCTCCAAAGTGACCGGCGTGATTTGTCTAGAAAGGGGGGGCAAAAACCGTTAAAATTACGCACGGTTATGATGACAATATAGTGTTGATGTAACGAGTGTGTAATGATTAATTTAAAAAAAAAAAAATCCTAACCCGGTAGAAACGGTGCACACCGTGTATCGAGCCGTTTTCGAGTATCTGTACAACTGTGGCGGAACGTCGGAAATCGGAAAAAAAAAACGTGAACAAAAAAAAAGAGTAAATTTAGCTGTAAAAAACGGCAGACGCTTGTAAGTTTACTTTTTTGGCGTTGTGTCCGACGAGCACGTGATTGCGGTCGGGCGATAATTCGAACGATATCAACGGGCCTTGTAATTTCTGGAAAAAATAAACACAGAAATAAAAAACTATACAAACCACAAAAATTCACGGGTAATCAATTTATTAGGATTAAAGTCCACGACACCGACTTGTAACGTATTTTTCGGTATCAACAGGCGGGTAGTCTGCACGGTCCCGTCCTTCTGGACTTGCATTATGGCCAAATCGCCGGTTCCGGTCACGTGAAACATCTCGTCGCCCGTTATCCACGTGCCGTTGAAGAGTTTTATGCTCCCGGAATCGGACATCGCGTCCGACAAACGCAACGCCCTCATGCCCCGGCGACGCCACCAGAGTTCGTCTTTCGCCCGCTGATTGTAATAGTAATCCGAACCGGGCCTGTTACCGTTCTCCGAGTGGAAATAAGAGTCCGGCAGTTCCTCGGCCTGCGGCGGAGTTAGTAGCACCACCGACGTGACGATCATCGCCAGAACGGCTACGATGACCATCAGGGCGATTAGTATTCCGCGCCAGTTACGTCGCTGTTGGGCGGAGCTCATCACGAGATCCTAGGGAAAAAACGGAGAACATTAAGGCAATTCGAATTTCTCCCACCCCACCCAACGCCACGGTTCGAGCGAATATCAAAGCGAGCTACGGTCGTTTTTACTGTCGCGCGATGTTGTCGAATTTCCACGTGCACAGAAAACACACCGTTTTTTCCTCCTCTCAACTAAAAGTATTTCTTTTCGGATTCGTAGTGTAACGAGGGATCTATTGGTATTACCGTGATGTGTGTATGTGTGTGTATGTGTGTGTGTGTGTGTGTGTGTGTTTTTTTAAATTTTGTTTGTGTCTGTATGCAACTTTTCTACCGGAAATATTTCTCTCGCGGATCGAGTGTAGCGTCTTTTCTGTTGGGAAATTTCCCGGTGCTTAAAGGAAATCATTTTTTTTTTTTTCTATATTTTAATGGGTTTTCATAATGTATATGTTGTGAAATCGTTTAACGTCTTATACTTGCGCCGATTTTGTACCGTAAGATTTTTGATATTAGATAATATCGGTCTTCTATCAAACTCAAAGGTAAAAATATCGTCTGTGTGTCTGTACGCTGTTCTTTTTCGATATTTAAATTTTAAAGCTGAATTTGACGGTTTTTAACGTGTAGTATTTCACATATTCGTGACTCGCTTGAAAATTAAAATAAGTGAATTACGGGAACAAACGATGTTCTTACGTATACATTTGATAATATAGGCTAATACACTCTTATGTTAAAGCTGACGGCACAAAATCGGTTTTCGTGCACAATAATGTATCAATATAATGATATTAACCGATTTCAAAACATCTGCCGTACCGTCTCGGTTTTCGGGGTAAATTTGACATAAAAAACCAAATATTTTAAACTTTAATCAACTTTAATTTTTATTTTAAATTGATTTTAGAATTTTATTTTTTTTTAAATTTTTATTGTAATTCCGAAAATTTGTTAAATAATCGATCCGCGCCAAAACCATTGAACGTATTGAGCTGAAGCTTTGCACAGATACAGTTCTTCTTCTCCCATTAAGGGGTTAAATACGGGCAGAAAAATGCCGCCTATACAAGGGAATCCATTTGAGTGTGTACAGTCTTTATCTCGAAAAGTATTAACCTTGTTTTGTAGAACATTTAGGAAACAAGCGGCTCTTTAATATTTTTTATTGTAAAAATAACAACCCACTTAAACGGATCACTTTGTATAGGCTACATTTTTCCGCTCGTTTTTAAGTACGGAAATCGGATTAATTTTATTGTTTTGTGGGCAATCTCGTTGACGCGGATGAAAATTATAAAAAATTTTAAATAACAAGGAGGTAATATTACCGGACAGGACAGATACATATATTTTAAATATTGTTTAGTTTTTTTTATTTTTCAAACGAAATCTGTTTACTGTAACCATAGTGAACGAAAATGTATTCGAGCGTTTGAAATGCCCGGCAATTATTGTCACTTCAACGAGTGCATTCGGGATTCATTGGTTTAGTAAAAATTTAGTTCCCAGTTTTAAATATAACGTCCGCGTGTGCGTCACTCGTGTTTTTAACCGAATTTCTGTTTTTCGAACTTTGACGAAATGACGACGACGACAACGGCGATGCAGGAGACGGATACGCTGTCGGACGAGTGGAAAGAGATCGAGGCCATCAGCGACCAGATCCGACGGGCGCTCGAGTGTCCGGTCTGCCTGACGCTGGCCGCGGACATGACGTCACTCTGCACGAACGGGCACGCGGTGTGCGGCAAGTGCGTGATCGAACTGTGGAGCAGTGACTACACGCACCACTGTCCCATGTGCCGATCTCCGATGGAATTGGAATCGCCGACCGCGATGACCGTGAAATTCACCGAGATCATAGATAAAGTGAGGCTGGTGTGCGATTACCGGCGATTCGGCTGCGACGAGCTGCACTTTGTCCGTGACATACCCGAACACGAGCTCGTGTGCCCGTACAAACCGAACGTCTATTGTCTGGTGTCCGCGTGCCAATGGGTGGGCTACTACGATCAGCTGCAGAGACACGTTAGCTGCACGCACTCCGGCGTCTTTGTCGAAGCCATGGTAAATCGCACAATAACTTATAGAGACCCGTTCGTTTTTAGTTCCTATAACGACTCCGGGCTCCGGATCCTCGCCGACCGGCCACGCCGCGGCCCAGAACCAACCGCCGTCAAACTCGTCCGCGAACGCGAATTTGAATTGCGCGGTTAACACGTGTGTTTCGACCACGACCACAGATACTATGGTTGCCATGGTTGCTTGACGGCCTAGAGCGTACCGCAGGACAAAAAAACCCGGCAGGAAATGTTCTTATCGAATTTCACCAAAACCCGCCCATCGCAAGAGCTCCTGGTGGATGAAATATTTTTTCACTTATCGGTTTATCATTATTTATATCATACCAATAATATTTGCCGGGGGCTCCGGCAGTGAGCAGGTTATTGCCATGGTCGATAAGAACATTAGATTCCGCTTTTTCGAGGATAAATGCGTAACCGTATTATCTATAGCCGTGATTTCGGCCGGCCGATTTCAAATAGCGTGACGAATCGATTGTGCCACGGTTATAATAATTGCAGTAGTGGGTGTGAAATATTTCTCCGTATCACTCTGTCAACACAACGTTTAGAGCACTCGGGTCGAGTCCCCGGATACGATTGAATCATTAAAATTAATCACGAACCGGGTCTGCGGTAATATTGTGTCGATAACGACAGTACTATGTCAACGGGAGTTTCGGTACAGTTCGCCGCATTTTTTTTTTCCGTTTTATAAGCCACTTGACATGGATTTTAAGGTGAAATTCACGTATAAGTTCAGTGGTAAGCAACGGTGAAAAAGAAATGTATTTACGAGAGAATATATTGAACTTTATTTCACCAGTAGATAATTAACCCGGTTAAAGACCGGCTTTTTACATTTATTCCGTAAAAAAATGAAAATTCTTAGTATTAAAAAAAAAAAGCCTTACACTATTGTAAAGCATTGCCAGGTCAGATTTTATAACAGTAAAGTAAAAAGAAACAAAATTGTTGGGAGATTTCTAACCCATCCGAGTCCAACCTCCTGGCACGCGGTGTCTCCTAGGTTACTTTAATAGGCTGGATTAGCATTATCAATATAAATACAAATAAAATAAAATTTCCTAAACGAAATATTCCGAAATCCAACTCGAGTATTTGATAAAATTCGTGGGGACCCAACGTGAAGTAATTCGACAATGTCACAACACACTACCGCCGCCAATAAGTCGACAAATCAGTTTTACCATCATCCCGTAAAATAAATTTTAGTATTGAAATTATTGATTTTTCTTAATCCGTTGACGAGATATTCCAATTATAATTTTGGGTCGGAGGAGAGTAGTGTTATTCGTGTGACGGTATTGCGTGCAACGTGTTAATAATGTACCATTACTCTTTTCCAACCTAAAATTAAAAAATGAAATATCTCGTCAACGGATTAAGGGAAATTAAAAATATCAACACGAAAATTTACTTTAGCTAATACTCCACGTATTTATGGACATTCTATAATAAGTTTATCATTTGATAATCAAAGGTATGTAGTGGTTTACCCCCAAAAATAAGAGTAACAAAAAATAACATAGTTATAAAATTGTAGAGCAGCTTGTTTCTGAAATGCTCTAAAAAAACAAACTCCAAAAATTTAATAATTTCCGAGATTTTGATTGTACCCACTTAAATGGATTACCTGGTATATTTATACAGGTTGTCCCACAAAGATAAACCACTTAAATATCTACGGAGATAATAAATATAACCGAATTCTGTATCTTTATTATCTCCGGAGATGTTCAAGGTGTATATCTTTGTGAAACAGCCTGTAAACAATATGGTATGTGGTTAATACACCCAACCATTACCGTAAAAAACAAAAATAATACTTTTATAAGCGGTTTAGTTCTACTGACCACCACCCCTTTAAATGCCACGAAATAAATAGTCGACAAAATAACCACCGCCCCTCAAAGAGTAAAAAACTTTATAAATTTTAACATTGATATTATCTGTACATACATTGATTCTAGCTTATCCATTAATGTTAGACTTTTGGTTACCCCAATGTAAGAAAACCTGCATGCAAATGTTGATAACGTATAATAATGCGTGTTTGTAATGTAGCGTTGCAAATGCCACCATTAAAAACTAAAGATATTCAATTTGACGATTAATTAACAATCACATTTTTTTTTTGTTATTATTATTTTTTACGGGCCGTTCGGTCGTCAACTGTGCAACGTGAACCATTCTCGTGCAGAGGAACAGTCTGTCCGTGGATAACGTAAACCAGATCCCATCGAAACAGCGCCGGACGTATTTGGTCCGGTCGCCGACCGGTATGTTCTGGGTGGTGCTGACCCGAGTTCGCCGGTCTAACATTCGGGCTGGCGTGTTTATGGTGGAGAAAGGTAAGCCGCCAGGATCAGCGGACACTGCGCAATCGGAGACGTCCGGGTCATCGGTGGAGTCCACACCGAATCTCCTTTACCGGGTCAAATGGTTCGACTCGGAAGGACGGTCCCAGAACCGTTTAAAGACCAAATGGGTCGGCCTGAGCTCATCTTTACTGGAAGACGTACGGAACGGTAATCGTGGCACGGCCGAATCGTACACCATAGTCAAGTTCAGGACGGGAAGCATGGAGTTCAGTTGGTTCCCGTATCAGGCTATGACCGGCAGACGTTTCTTTAACCGGCCCACTATATAATTAGGATGAAGCGGAGTGATCAGTCGTCCCTTTCCCTTAAATGTATTGTGTACGTAATATATTTGTGCGTGCATGAGCGTAACACAGGAGCACAGCCCAAATATTACAAAACTTTCTTTGATTGCATCGTATAGGCCACCCGCAGCACACATAAACCTGTTCGTTATTATTAAATCAACTAAAGCCACGCACGACACGTAATGCGCACCACGTACTCTGGCTATTTCACTCTTTCCGCCCCACCGCTCATCAACTATCACCATCATAGGCTCATGACCTTTTCAAAGTCGCGGTCTTCTTTCGAGTATAAAGTGTAACCACGGACCCCCAACCGTTTTGAAAAAAAAAAAAACAATATGATTTTTTGTCCAACTGGTTTTCTGATTTTGTTTTGATTTGTGACCACTGTAGAATCGCACAGATTTGTAGTGTTGAATGGAATCAAAAATTGCATTGCCCTTGACTCACGGATAAGCTTTCTTCAATGCATACCATAATTATTCGATTACATTTTTTGATTGAAAATCGTGGTGTGCCATTGCTTTTGATCTTGAATCAATTAATTTGTTTTTAACGGGGTCTGGATTGTAAATAATATTTAATTCCCCAAAAAAAGAATTACTACGTAACTATATTTCTACTTTTGAAAATGTAAAATCGAAATTAAATGCTAAATAAGTTATTCAGTACATTATGATGTTTATAAATTTATATTTGTACGGAACTAAACAAAACAATATTATTTTTATTTTAAAGTTTTTGTTAAAGTGTTTGAAAGTATGTATTTTCGATTGAAATCTTTTTTTCCACGGGCTAATTTCATTTATGCAATTCAAATGCATTTTTTTTCCAGACACGTCCATAATTGTTACTTATCGTCCTTGAATCGACGTATTTAATATGTTCAAATAAACTTTAAATATGTTCAAACTAAAAATATCTGTTAAATATGAAATGAATGAACTCATTATAAAAATATTTTGAGAGTGAGCTTTGTCTTTTTATTAAAAAAAAAAAAATTTCTTATTGACGTTTATAAAAAAGTTTTTTGGAAAGCTAACATACTTCAGTATAGTAAAAAACTTCATATTCAGTTCCGATTTCTTTGTATTTCTTACAATTTAAATATACAGCTTTCACTTCAACCGATGATCTTGAAGTATCAAATTGTTTGAATCAATTTAAAACAAATTTATTTTTGGATTGTTTTAAAAAAAATCAACCATTCCGTGGATCCCCGAGTAAATAACCCGAGAGTTCAATGGACCATCGGTTAAGTACCTATGATCTGTATGTTATCGTACTTTCGTTTCCACACACATGTACACACGCAAATACTGATAATAGACACATCATAATATAAGTAAAGATGTAGAGTTAACATGTGTACAATTTTGTCCACGGAAAAAAGTAAAGAGACGCTTCACGGAAATGCCCTTTTTGCTTAAAATGTGTTTTTGAACTCTGCGACCTCTACAGTCTATAATATATGTATATACAATTTTAGTTCGAAATTTTAATAATAGAGCACTGTAGAAGCGTTTACGTGATTGTGTGCAAATGCCTTTCTTGTAAAGAACTACATATTATGTATGTTATATTTATAAATAATATCGTTTTATTTTTCAGTGATTTAAACACAAATTTTATAACTATTTGAGCAGATCTAAAAGAGTGTCACCCATTTGAAACTTTAATTTCGTTTGTCTCAAAACACGTTTTCTATAAAATGCCTTTCTTGTACTCAGCCCTTCAATTAATCCATATTAAACTCCATATTAAGCGGCCAGAGTAGAAAATTTGTTTGTAATAGGAAGAACGAAAATGACTATAATTTGCAGTGTGCACTACGTATACAGTGAGTCAATAAAGCCACCTTCGTGTGCGGTGCCTTGGTAACAAAAATTGTAATTTTTAGTAAAAAATTAGGAGCTGGTCCGTAAATTGGACTGCTGGATGAGACATAGTACAGTCAAAGATCTAGAACAAGAGCTAGCCTAGCTATTGTCCTAGATTGTCCTTTTTTCGTATTTTTTAAATTTTTCTTTGTTATATATGTGAATTTTGAACAATAAAGGATGATGACGGCCCTGAGGTAATGCTCACGCTGGTTCCCGGAGCCATCGTCGATTCAAAAACGTCAAAAAAATGTTAACTCATATTTAACTTCTCCCTACGCATGTCCGCGGACAACCGTCTGCGCACACAAAAAGAGACTACCACTCTCTACTCACTCTATACTCACTCGTATGTCTGTAGGCAACACTATAATGCGCATAGCAACCCAACTTGATTACCTGTATTATGATATATCTAATCCTAATACAATATGTACGTGTGTATGTTTGTGAATCAAAACGGGATTGCGACAATATAGAGATGGTAGGTGATTGGCGAGGAGGAAGAGGTGAAACAGATCGAGTATGTACGGTGGACATTACGGGTTGCGTTCGGGTGAGAGTTGAAATCATAATAATGAATAATTTATATGTGTTGCGGGTTGCCTATATGATGCAATCAAAGTGATATTTGTAATATTTGGTGTGTTAGAGTGTGGTTATTTCGTGTGTCGTATTAAACATTTTGTATGTACTACTGAACCCCCCTCCCCCTTACCATCCCATTTATATACGCAACTGTTATTCTCGTTCCGATGGTGTATAACCGAAATTCGCTCCGAATCGTTTCTCGTTTGCGATGGTTTATCGTTGCTTACAGATATAAATTATATAACTCAAATTTAAATATTTAAAAAATCAAATGCAATATAACATTATTTAGGTAACCCTTTTTGTGATTGATTCTGGTTCAAATAATTTTCTTATTTTAATTTTTCAACTGCGATTATAGTTGATAGTTATGAGTAAACAATTAAGTGGGTTTTAAAAATTATTATTATAATTTTAAACATTATCAACCAGAAACCGTAATTTTTTAGTTTTTTCTAATTACCGAACAAACCGAAACCAGAATAAAATTATTATGGTTATAGTTTCAGGTTTAAATTTCAAATAAAACTGTTGAACTAAATCGGAAAATGAGAAAGATGTTTTAATGAAGTGTGGAACAAAGTATAAATATTAATATTTCCCTTTATTTATCTATCTCAACAATTGTTGAATTTCACCTCCTAAATTTTTGTACATGCATATACAATTGAGCTACAAAATACTTTGGGTCAATAAATTAATGTTGACCCGTGCTGACTTGAATTTTAAATTCGAGTACATTCATTTGATTATAGTGTATTTAAACATTTAATATGTTTATAAATATTTCGTAAATTGATAGAGAAATTGAAAAATGTTACATTGTGGATTTGAAATTAAAATTTCTATAAATCATTATATAACATACTTTTTTATTTTTATAATTATTTAAAAATTAATAAATAATAGATTTAATAGTTTCTCAAAAGTTTTTTTCGTTATTTCCTTACTACATATAGGGCATGTTCTTCTGTGTTCTTGTACACCGTGTAATAGCAACTCAGACTTTCTTTCATCTATGGTTAAACTTCTAGAAGTTTAATTGTTTTTTCCACTGTATAATTTCTCCAGGAGGATGGACTTTCAATTATTTGTCCTAATAATCATCCGAAAAATAATTATGATTAACTGAAGTAATTCTTTGTAGTCATTTCTGTAACATTTATTTTGAAATTTAATTCGAGAAAAATGGAGGATAAGATTCCATAGACATTCTAACCCCGAGTCACACTCGTCGTTATCTATTCCAGAAGTAATATTTTTACTGTTGAATTATATCATTTTTTTTTTTTCGAAATTTCCAGAATATCAGGACTTGAAGTTACACGAGAAATTAAAGTTTTAAAAATATTCTGTACATAATTTCATACATGTGTTGAAGGCTTGATAGGTAAAGTTTACTCCAATTTCTGTTTTAATAAAATAAATGTATCATTTAAACGCCTCGTGTACTTGATGTTGTGATATCACAGTATAATGCTTCAATCAAGTTTGTTACGTCGCAAAATTTTCTAACACTTAATATTATACGGCATTACAGCATAAATAATATGACAGTATTGGCTTGTTGTTATCCCATGGAATTTTTTAGTTTAGGGATAACCATACGTATATCTATAATTTAACTAGTTAGAACAATTGGCATCCTTTCAATACCCGAGTCTTTGACATTCAATGTTGATAGTATTTTTCCGTCCCGATGTACTGTTATATAACTAGGAAGACATAGAACATGACTTTATTCTTAAAAAGCGTACGACTGGACGTGAAAATGGATAATATGAGATGTAGTTTAATTAAGTTTACAATCTATCATATTAGATAAAAATTAGATTGTAAACTTAATTAAACTACATCTCATATTATCCATTTTCATGTTCAGTCGTATGCTATTTAAAATCAAAGTCACGTACTATGTTGTTTCGACACCACTCTCCATCAAAAACTCAAAAGGATAAACCAAGAGGGAAAAAGGTATGGAAAAGGTAATTGATATAAGGATCAAATAGAAAGTTTCTAGAAAGGTCCAAATGCTTTCCAACGAGATGTTCCGCATTAATTAAACTTAAACTTAAGCCATTTCCCGAGTCAAGCCATTAATTTTAGAAATAAAACAAGCAATTCGTGGAGTGGTTAAAATGTATCCCAATAGGAAGTTTCTGATAGGGGATTATTGGCTACTAAACAACAAGTTTTCGAGAAGATGTTTACTGTGAATGTTTGTGTTTCGTCGCTACGCCTTTCATATAGTGAACTGCTCATGGCTATGCCACTGTTATAAAAAGGAGGAGGCAAGTTAAGAATTACGCATTACACATACAGTGTAATTTAATTTATATTCAAAGCAACGATAAATCATTACTAATGAAAAACGAATCTAAGCGAAGCTCGGTTAAAAATACCTTTTTGACATTTTGTTGTTTTATGATTTTTATTTTCGTAAAAATGTTAATGCCCACGGGGACGTTAACAAAATAATAAGAAAAAAGTTTTAAAAATAATTGAATACACAAACTTGTCTTGAATTCAATCTTAATGAATTAGACACCAACGTGAAAAAATTCTTGTGCCGCTACAAAAACGTATTGCGTCTCAATTAAAGAATACAATCCAGGGATCCCGGGATCTCAACCTTCATTTTATCCTGGAAATCCCGGTATTTTCGGGAGTAAGTATTAATTAATTAGTTATATTAATTAGTTACATAGCAGAAAAATATATATATGATAATTAATAATAAAAATAAACAACAAACATATATTATACAAAATACAATATTTCGCGAGTATCAGTGAATGTATGTGATTTTACCCGTTTATCTATAATACCATTGAATATTTGTATATCATTTATACTCAAATACATTTGTTATCTATGAGTTTTTGATGGTTCGTAATTGACAGTATATAAATACCTAATACCTTGAAGACGAGACATTAAATAATCTGACATTTCTCCGATCTTACTTTAAAAATATTCCTTTTCAAAAACATTTATTTATATTTTTCATTTTTTTTTTTTTTTTTTATTTGTTATTCATATTTATTTTTTTCTGTGATACACAGTATTAAATTGATAAAATTCGAATAAAAATATATATACTTATGTATGTATGTATATATATATTATTATAATAACAAAAAAAAAGAATTTTCAAAATGTACGTATCATTTATTTTTATTTTTTTATGTTTTTATCAATTTGTAATGTGATCCCGGGATGGTAAAAGTATTTCGGGATAGTATTCCCTAGTCCCAATCAACGCGATTTACCTTTTTTAAAAAATAAAAAATACATGATTGCCCATTGTTTTTTTGACGACGACGGACGAGGTTCCTATATTCATATTAATACATATGCAAATTAAATGTATAATTTAATTATAATATTCTGATGTATATCATTTTATTTTATTTAAGAATTTATTATATACACATACGTATTACGTACTTATTTTTAAATTTATATCGAAAATAAAGACATTTTTTCATTCTACATATATTGTATTTTAGATTCTGTGTGAAGCGAGGAATGTCTCGATATAACAATAATGTTTCTTTTTTATATTTCTTTTTTTTTTTTATATATATACTGTGTACAAAACTTTTCTTAGAGATCTTGATACTAACTAAACACAACAACGGAACCTTTTGTTACATTTTAGCTCTATTTGAAATGTGATTTGTTGAAATTCTCATTAATATTCGAGATAATGAGAAAAAGCTGGTTATTTTTGTTAAAAAAAGATTAAAAATGAGTCATTGGCAACCGTTTTTATTTATTTTTTGTTATTGTGTTTTTATTAGGTTTTTTTAATCTTTTATTTTATTTTTTTTAAATTATCGTTGTTGTGAAAACGCCCATGTTAAAAAAGAAATACTATTGACCGAGCTCCACTCAAAGTCGTTTGTCGTTAGCAATGATTAATCGTTGAGTACAGATATAAATGAAATTCCTTGCTATATACTCTTTACCTTCCCAACTGTTCACCGACAATAGTGTCCCACCCGTGATGAAAATTATGTCCGTCCGTTTTTTACTGCACGTTGGATAAAAATTAAATACATATTCATGTACATATTTTTTAATTTTAAACGTTCATAAAAACACACCCTAGTTATATAATATAATACCGAGGAGTAAAAATAAGTAGGAAAACTTCGTTTCAGATTGCTATCGTGTCCAAAGACGATTTCTGTTTTTTTCGTGTAGCATTTTTAATTAAATTTTAGTACTTATTTAATTTTACTATATTAAATCGAGCTAGTTGACTATTACTTATATTTATGCTGTAATTTACGGGCGTTCTGTAAATTATTTGATTATTTTAATTTTATCTCAGTTCTAACTGATAATATTTTACATAAGTAATTAAATGCAATATTATTACAAAACGCACATGCTATTACTCATGTTAAGACGTTTATAATTACGTTCGGTAATACAAATAATTGATTGAAAATTTAAATTGAAAAAGCTGTCCTGGGATAATGAGAACAGATGCACTTACCGTTATAGGTAATTTAATTCATATTTGTATTCAATGATCCGCCATTGCTAACGAAAAAACGATTCTGAGCGGAGTTCGGCTGATAGTGTTGCTTAGTCAACAACATACATATATGCCATATTATGGTAAAATAATTATATACATTTTTTTGATATTGTACTTATTTTTCCGTTTTTACTACGTTTTTCAATATTCATTCCCATTTATTGAGAAAACTCCAGGGAAAATAAAAAAATGACTTCCTTAAAGTACTACCCTAGTCAGTTTTTCTTTCGGAAAAAGTAATATCATTGTAAAAATTGTTGGTAGAAAAATTGTCCACCGAAAAAAAATAAATAAACACCATTGTAATACCATAAGCTTCCTCGCTCCACTGAGAACCTATATTGATATGTAGAGATACTCTGAGTCATCCTTACTTGCCTACGTGAAAATAATAATAATAATAATAGTTCGGCAAATAAAATATGAATTATTTTTCTATGTATAATTAAACATGTGTAAAGACCCTTCGAAAACGTACCAAATAAATTAACGATTTTTATTAATTGGAAGTTTGTGTTTATATATTACTGGGAGTAATAACGTGTAAACATATTTCATTTTTAGTTTTCATTTTTTTCCGTACAGCGTTTTTAATATATGCATGGTTTTGAACTTTGCATAATGTTGCGTAAGTTATTCACGATTATCAATTCGGTTGGCCTGGCGACCTACTTCGTTTCAATATGGTCCGTAACGAAAACGCACGAATCGATCGCCTGCGAATTTATAATAGAATTATATTATGTATAATTTAAATCCTACCATCGTCCGGGTAAAATAGAGATGAAAACATCTGCGTGTTTCGGCGTAACATGTTTTATGGACGCTATTTTTAAACAGATATCTTTGATGGACGGACATGTGTATCCGTTACTTTGTTTACGGCGTTCGCGGTACGATATGCGCATATCAACCACAATCTGTATCAATTTGTATCGGTTTATTAAAATATACCGATTTCGATGTTTTCGGGATAATTTTTTTTTTTTTGCGCCCGGATGACGTCTGCAGCAACACAGACGTAATTTGTTCCCGAATCGTAAATAACCGATAGCCGAAATTTCCGCGACGCAATATTATTATGTTATTGATTACCGATTACGACGAAAACGACAGGTGTCAGATCGGGGTTTGTGCGGTTCGTCGCCAATAGATAGGTGTTTAATATTTGTATGCAGTTGCTCCCGTTTCGCGTGAGATTCGCATGTAAATCTAGTCGCTCAAAGGTCAGCAAATATCGATTCGGTTCGGTGGGGGTGTACCGACGACAAGGTTGAGGGGGAGGGAGGCAAATTAACTTGTCGTGGTCGTTGTCGTTCGCAGCTGGTTCGTAAAGTATTGTCTGAACCCCGAGTTAGGTAACTGAATTTCGCGAATCAATGAATTCACGTACGTTTTACTTCACTCGCGTTCGCGTTCACGTTGTGAAACGTGAGTTTTGTAATACGCAATTGGAAATCAAACGAATTTCGCGACCCGTCCGATCTCCGAGATCTGACAAAAATTAGAAGAAGAAAACGGTTTTCCGTTCTTTTGATCGGTCAACGGACGGTGAAACCATAGTCGGAGTACCTATGCAGAATTCAAATGGCAGAGCAGATCATTTCGAATTCGTGACACAAAAACTTGGAATTATTCCGAATAAGATTTGATTCGAGACTCTGTCGCGTTGTCCTGAATACGATTTCGTATAATATACCTTATTAAATAATGTTACAAAGTGTTTGAAACTCGTCTGTAAACAACTCGGGATAATTCGATTTACGAACGCGTTGAATTCCCGGTTTCAAAACGCGTTCTAAACGTTTGACTATAAATCCGTGTTGTACGACGTAAAAAAGCATTCGGTAACTATTACACGATTACGTGTTACAATTAAATTGAACGCTGTCACGGACTCAATCGGAACGGATCAGATCGTTGAAAGCACAGGCGCAACTAGGGAAGGGGGTGTGCGCTAGGGGTGTGTAATATCTCCTAGTTTTAAATACGCCTCCCCCCCTCAAAAACACCCAATAAGCTTTTTTACTCGTGTCCGTCTATTTCGTAACAATTAATGAACGAAACGAAATACGCAGATCACCTACAGATACCATACTGCATTTGCGTATAAAAAAAAAAAAAGTTAAAAAAATTGCGTATTATACGAAAATGAAATGTGCAGTTGCGTTCATATTAAGCGTCGTATAAAGGGGATATTGCCGGGGGAAGGGGCATTGCTCCCATGGCGTCCGCAACGTGTCTATGATTCAAGCAACCCACCCCCCCCCACCCCCATCCCTCATAGACGGTGGTCCAGTCATGCCTACGTAGTAGCCCACCGCCGTACCCGTTCGAAATACATAACTAACACCGAAATATTATCGCGTGGTGTTCTCGGCCTACGTGCAGACACCTAAAACGTACGAAAACGGGAGAGCACCGGCTCAGTCCCCGTTGTTTATCACTACGCTGCCCTTATACTATTGCTGTGACTAACATATTGTTTGTACCGGATGAAAGCAGCGCGCCACTTGTATCCAATGAAAACGTCTACGAAACCGAAAACTTTCCCGAGCCGCTCGGAAGCCATTCGGACGGACGGGGAAGGGGTCGCAGGGGGGAGGTTCGCGGAAAACGAAAATCGTTATGACAGTGTTTACCTCGTCATCGAAATGGTCGCTCACGCCGGGTCGTTGTCGGTATTCGGTCGCCATGGCAGACCGAGACGGTGGCGGCGACGGCGGTGGTGGCGGCAGCGGCAGCGACGACGACGGAATCGGCGGTGAATGTGGCGCTGGTGACGGTCTGTCGGGTCAAACCCGGTCGCGCATTGCGGCGAATTGCGAGTGCCGCCGGCGACGGTTACGACGGCGATGACGACGATGGTTGTAAAACTTTACGGACGTTGACGGCGTTCAGTCGCCAGCGCATAGAACCGCCGCGAAACCCGCCATAGAACCGGGCAACCCCCCCCAACTCGCTTCGCGTTTCGCTCGCGGTGTCCGCCGGACCGTGCGTCGTCGCTGCGTTGCGTCGTCGTCGATTGCGCGTCGGTACCGCGTAACGTTGCCGAGCAGTCGCGGTGCGCCACGTACCGGACGCAGCGGGATACTGCGGGTCGGCCGGCCGCGTTATTATTTATTAATTTTTCGATGATTATTATTATTATTATTCTTTTTCTCTCTCTCCTTTCTACGGCGGCGGCGGCGGCAGCGGCGGCGGCGGCTGCGGCTGCGGCGGCGGTGTCGGCGGCGACGGCGCGTTCGATTTTGCCGTGACTTTGCGGTCGGCGTAGTACGCGAGAGGGTGTCGGCGCGTGCGCACCTACGTTTTACGATACCTTGCGGGACCGCGGGGCGACACAAAACGGACCGGCGGCGGCGAGAAGCTGCGCTCATGCGGACCCGGCGTGGGCGATAAACGTCATCGGAGTCCTTCGCGCGCGCGACCGGCGGCCTCGCGCCAGAGAGCGGGGCGTCCGCGCCGGCGTGTCATTCGTCCCAGAGTCTGACCGCCGACGCCGCGACGTGCTCTCCCGTACACACACACACGCACTGCAGGTGTGTGTGTGTGTGTGTGTGTGTGTGTGTGTGTGTGTGTGTCTATATGAAGAGATTTTAATTGAACGCGCGCGACCTACTGCGTACGTAAACGGCGGCGTCCCTCTCCCCCCTCCCCACCGAACATTTTCGTTTTCTCGTCGCGACCGCCGAGTCGTCGCGCTGGAAAATCGCACGACCCCCGGCCGCACGGCGATGGTCGGAAATGCGTTTCCAGCCGGACGTAATTGTTATAATTTTTTTTTTTTTTTTTTTATGTTTTTAGATTTTAATAGCGAGGCGAGAGATCTACTGGTTTTATTGTAATGTGTGTTTTCGATTCCGAACAGGGAGCGGTAGAAATGTATTGGTTTTAAAACTATGTTTATGTTGTTTTTTTATACACTGTGGACTAAATTCTACCGGGAATTTCGCTACGATTTTCAAGTGTAACGCTTTTTCCGAAAGGGAATTTGATTGAGGAGGTACATTGGGGAGGTCATTTTTTTGATTTTCTCAGGAGCTTTCTCGGTATATTGGAAAAACCTGAAAAATCGGAAGGAAAACGGGAAAATGTACGAAATGTATTAGTAAAATATTACAGTCTTTTTTTTTTTTTTCTGTGGATAACTTTACTACCAGCAGTTTTGTTTTTATTTACAATGATAGCAATTTAATAGGGAGATACTTTGGATAGGTCATGTTATGATCTTCTCGGGAATTTTCCCAATAAAAGGGAAAAACAGGCAAAACATGGAAAAACCGGGAAAAACGCAGGAAAAATAGGGAAAATAGGTACAATATTAACCAAATATTATTAAAGAAAATATAATAAAATTCCCATGTAATAATTTTACCTTAATTAAAAAAGTAACACAATCAACTGAATTCTACTAAGAATCGTATTTTCGTAAGCAAAGATAAACCATCTTTGCTTACACATATATGTTAAATTTCCGTCAATATCCTACCCTCTCAAATTCTCGCCTACGACCGTGGATCACCCACGTGCAAAGTTTCTCCGTATTTTACTTTTTGTTTTGTCAAATTTGAACAACAACCTTATATTTGTCTTTTATATACGTGGTAAAACTTTAAAACAAAAAGACATTTTTGAGCATTTTTAGATATTTTAATTATGCGAGTTTATGTAATATTTATTCAGTAGGTACTATGTGGATAAAATTGTTAGATGAAAAATAATACTTGAAATTTCAACAGGAGGTTCATTAAAAATTTTACTTAGTACAATATAAAAAAGTTTTTTTTTATAATAATTTTGATAAAAATCGTAAATATTACGGCCACTCAGAATCGTTTTTCTTAAGCAATGATTAATCGTTGCATACAAAGATATATTAAATTCCTCTCTTTATTCTTTTCAGCTTCTCACCTACATAGTTGTCCGCCCATCGAGTGAAGTATGTCAGTCTTTTTTTTTTCTGTCTATAAATTCTCCCAAAAATCTAACTCTAATCGGAACACACGACAAGAGACCTTTTTTTTTTTCATTTTAACTCGAGTCGGTATAGACTTTAGAACTGTCGTTCTTTTTACATTCTCGTTAACGAGAAAAACCGGTTTATTTAGGTTAAAAATATTGAAAATAATATTGTCATTTTAAACCGTTTTAATTAATTTGTTGTTATTTTCAGTTTTTATTATTTTAATATGTTTTTAAAACAATGCGTGAAAACGGGCGTTGTTGTAAAAACAATATTCTTTACCGAGCTCTGTTCATTATTCGTCTGTCGTTAGCAATGCGTACGGATGTAAATTAAATTCCCCTTTAAATCCTAACCAATTCTTAACTTCTCGCCTACAACAGCGGCCCATTCGCGTTGCGAACTACGCCCGTCCGTTAGTTTGTTCATTGCAATTTTTATTGCGCGTTTCTTATGCTATATTCACGGCATTAAATTACGTCTTTTATCGAGTGTGCAGGTAGAAGATAGCAAAAGTTGTATTATTCGTATACCGATTGCCAGGAAACTGTTTTTGTTTATAATAATAAATATTATTATTATGTATACGGAAGCCGCAGAAATCGTCGCTTATTTTCGTTCGACTATTTATAAACACGCGTTCCGTTACCTATAGCCAGTTCGCGTATGGACGTTTATTCCTGCAGTTTGTTATTCTTTTTTTTTTTAAAAATCACATATCAATGATTTTCGGGCGTATAAACGTACGTTCAGTTTGAAAAAAAAAAAAAAAATGTCAGGTCGACGCGCAAAACGTATTTATCGTACGGGTAGTATTGTTAATTTACTATCGGGCGATACTTAAAAGGAAAAAACGTAGTAGAATCAGTGGCGTGACTAGAAATATTTTAATGCCCGTGTCAAATATTCTAGATTAACCGAATCGGGGGACCAATAATGCACCATCCTAGTTGCGGGGCCTAATTTGCACAGATTGGAGCGAAAAAAAGGTCCATCGTCTATTTTCATACTCGAACATACTAAAAATGCCGCCTTATTGACAATGATTGAAAGTTCGTAAATGGCACGGGCATGTGGCTCATTGCCCGTCATGTCACCTTATCGGTACGCCACTGAATGGAATCATAAGTTATTATGTTACCGTATCCGATTGTTCGTTATAACACGATTAGATGTTGAAAATATTGGAAAAAAAAAACTTTGATGGTTTTTTCGACAAATTTCTATTTAAGAAAAAAACAATAATTAAATTAATTTTGTTACAATAGTAATAAAAATACATAATATATACTCCGGAGGTAGGTATTTTTCCAAAATTATATTTATTTAATTTTTTTTTCCATGTTTATTGCATTTTCTTACGGTTTTGAGTGCATATTTTCGTGTCCGAAATAGTATAATCGGAAATGGCGTGCATATTTCGCCAATATTAGCGCACCCAACAATAATAATAATATTATAAAAAAACTCAAGGTTTGACGGTATTATATAACATATTTGCATATTAGAGTATTTTTGGTCACACAGCCATAGAACGTTCTAAACAAAAACCACATATTTTGTTTCATACTTCGCCGATGTCATAAGTACGTAATTTTTTTTTTCGCTTGTTTAGGACTTAAATAAAACTATTTTTGTAATTCAAACTATTTCAATTTCGATTTTCAAATAATCGTACGACCAAACGCATCATCTGAAACGGTCGTCGTATTCGGATGTTATCGCCGATCTTAACGGGCAATTTCGTTCGTTCACCGTAATTTGATTATTTTGTAAAACATGGCAGTCGCATCGTACTGCATTGTTATCGGATTTAATTTCGTAGATTTCAATATTTTTAGCGCTTATTTTGGCGATTTAAAGTGCGTATTGAAACTCTAAAATTTAATTTTTTTGTGCTATTAATTCCGAGCCATGATTATACAGCGATACTTGCACACGAATGACATTCACGAGACCTTTAATCGTGTCAGTTACGTACAGGTGTCCGGTATGTAAAAGTTATAGTGTATTATACTAAAATTAATTCGGTTAGTTCCGTTTTCACAATGCCAAATTTTTCAGCGAATTCACGAATAAATAAGTTTTCTGGTCTCTGGTGAAAATATGATAATAGAATGTACTATTGTATTTATATTGACTTGCACGAAATACACGTAAATGTGTTCGGCTATGAAAAATTAACCCGTCGGACGGTAAATCGTTCGTTGCAGGAAAATTGTTGTCATTTATAAAAGAGAAATATGATTTTCGCGCCCGTTGTAGGGCGAGTCCATTAAAGACGAACTAAAAAAAAAAAAAGAGAATACCTATCTCTAGACACGGTAAAGCTTTACCGGGACGTTATAGTTTTGATCGATAAGACAGCAGGTGTCACTGTAACTAAACAACTATTTTAGTAAATAACTATTATATATAATTATTATTATTCGCACGATCACCGCGGTAAATGGAATTATATTCTGAATCGCTGTCGTCTGTCACGATAGTAACTGTCGCTATCGGAGACACTATTAATAGCCACCAAAGTAATTTTATTTTAAATAACTTAATCTGCTCATCACAAGCGTAGCTCGACGCAATTAAAAATTATGCCATTGAAAATTTAAGATTCCGTGTAATAATGCTTATATTAATTTCCTCAGATTGTTTTCGGTCACTTCAAGTTTAATGTTTTATAGAGTTTGAAACCGCATACATGTTTGTAGTAGTGATGCCTTGCACATTTATTAGTAGTATTCAATAGTGAAATCTGTAATAATAGAAATATAAAAATTACCATTGAATTTATATCTATTTTAGAACAGATTTGTTAAATATTTAATTTTATAAATTACGAACATATTCTGAGAACGGTTGACAGAGAAACGAGTTGATATTCAGAAACAGCAACATGATTGTTTCATTATACATTTTACCTCTAAAAGTTTAATTCTTAAAATAAAATAATAAGTACCTCTGGCAATTATTAATAACCATCCTACACCAATTTTCAAATATCATTTAATAGGTAATAATAAACTTAATTTTTTTTAGATTCCAAGCGTAACGAGGGGGCTTTTGCTTTTACTAAGATGTTTATTTTTTTTTTTTTC